TAAAATATAAAATTATTAAATTAAAATAATTAATTTATTAATTATTAAAAATAATTATTAAATTATTATATATATATAAAATTAATTAATAAAATATTTATAAACGTTTAAAACGTTAAAATTTAAATTTTAAATATAATAAATTAAATTTAAATAATTAAAATAATTTTTTTTAAAAAAAAAAAAAAAATTAAAAACTTAAAACCTTTAAAAAATTATTATATAAATTAAATTTATATTTTAAATTTATTCCTTTTATTATAATTAATGTTTATTTTTATTTTAATAAATTTAAATTAAAGCCCCGTTTTTATTTTATACTTTTTTAATTATATTAATTTTTAATTAATTAAATATATTTATTTAAAAAAACATAAAAATGGGAACTTTAATTTAAAACATTTTAATTATTTTTTCCTTTATATATTATAATTTAATAAATTTTTATTTTTTGTTTTTAAATTATAAATTTAAATAATTATTAAATAAACCGCGTTTTAAATTTTAAAAAAATTTAAATATATCGTTATTTAAATTTATTAATTTTATAACGGTTTAATTATTTAAATATATTATAAAGTTAATAAATTTAAATAACGGTATATTTAAATTTTTTTAAAATTTAAAACACGTTTATTTAATAATTATTTAAATACGTAATTTAAAAAATTATTATTTAAATAAATAATATTTTTTATATAAATAATAATTATTAATTTATTTTTAATTACGTTAATATTAATTTTAATTTAAGTTTTAATTTTATTAAATAAATTTTAATAAATAAATTTCGGTAAAACTTTTATATAATAATTATTTAAAATATTAAATATATAAATAATTTTAAATATAAAATTATTAAAATTTTATTAAATTATTTAATTTTAAATTTATATAACCGTTAATTATAATATTATCGTAAAAAAATAAACCATTTTTAAATAATAATAAAAATAATATATAACTTTTTTTACGTTAAAACTTCGTATTTAATAAAAATTTATTTTAAAAATAATTTAATATAATAAAAAATTTAAAAAACCATTTATTTAATTTTAAATTATAAAATTAAATTTATTATATATATTATTATTAAATAAAAAATTATTTTAAATTAAATATAATAATTATTTATATAAATAAAAATAATATATAACTTAATTTTAAATTAAAAATATTTAAACTAAAATAATTTACGCACCGCGCCCGTGCCCCACAGCTACAATGGCACGGACCATATCGCCACATTGTGGCGGGTACAGCCAATTATTTTAGTCTGAGCTAACTGAGATAAGTTTATCTCCTGAAATATGCTTATCCATTAAAGCCCACAAGATCTTTAAACGGCAACCAAGAGTGAGATGGGCTGCGTACAAGCTTAGTTCAATTCAATTAAGTACCTACTCATTTAAGAACCATGGCCGGTTTGCCAAAGATCCCTCCCTCGGCAGGGGTATTCTTAAGCTTACTAAAGACCTGCCGTGGAATATACGGTAGTAATAAATCCTTCAAGCTCGATCGACGGCTCCTGGCTTCAGTGATATGAAGGTAAAGCTCAAGTTTATCATTCTAAGCTTTACTATAAGCCAGTAAGTTAAGCTTATTTTAAGATTGAACCGGAGTTTAAATATAGAACACCTAGGCCCCCATATTCCCCGCAAATTGGTTGATGGACCAAAAAGGGGCTCGTTCTTGCGATCTAAGCAGTCCACTAATAAATTTCCTTCCGCCATCCATAATTCTCGCTAAATCATCCTATCAAATATTGCAGATAGGGTCTCTGGTACGGGAGAGAGCGTTCTAACTATTCGGTGCACGTGTGGCTCTGTACGCGAATGCGAGTGACAGAATAAGACCCTGAATGGTTGAGATGATGCGAGCAATTGGTCTTGTATATGGACAACACTTTGGATTAGGAACATATGACAGCTTGATTCATCAGATATTTATTTTTCCGAATGTTGATTGATGCCTACTTTAGCGTAGTAAGATTGAATAGGTAAGAATGTCGGCATATGATGTAAGTGTATGCTTTCTAGACATGTTTTGGAAGTTACCATATGACTGAATTTATATTGATACTGACTACCTAGTAGATGTTGGATAATCGTTGTCTTGACTAGTTAATTTGTTCGATGATACCGCTTTGAGGGCCGTTGGTGCTGGCGTCATCCTGAACGCTTTCAGCTGTTCCCCATCGTATTCGGTGGACAATTCTCTATGTTTACGAATACATTTCAAAAATAAGGTCATGCTTTTTTGGGAAATTGCTGCTCAATTGCCGTCTTAGGCAACTTTGTGATCGATTGCTGTTCCGAGTAATGGGAACCACTGCTCGTCACTGCGAATTCTGTTCTATATAAACGAGCGACCGGCTTCTCAATTGAGATTCTTGCTGCATCAAAGCAGCAGAAAATCATATCATTTCAATACCTATCTAAGATTTGATTTCACTAAAGCCGCGCTTCACTATAACATCGACAACTTCGCTCAAAATGAAGGCCTCGACCGTTCTGGTTTCGCTCCTCAGCATCTGCTTGACAGGTGTCCAGGCTGGGCTTATAGGTACGCGATTCGAATTTGATATATATTTGGTTAACTAATACATGCGTATAGCACGAGCAGCCGACTCTATAGCCAATGGTCTGGAGGGACGAGACCAAACCCCCTTTTGCAACCAGGATTCCGACTGCCACCTTGACGCATGTACCAATCCCACCTGCGTTCAATTTCTAAGGTCTCTAAAGTGAGTCTCTGGAAAAGATTTACCCTACCTTGAAAAATTACCGAGGCTGACCTATCACTAGGGAATGCGTTTGCCCTTAATTTTTGGGTGTTCGAATGGTAATGTCTGGATATGTCTGATCTGGTTGTACGATCAAGGTTCATAAACCCTTGGAAATTAATTAGTTATCTTTCTATTGGAGGCAATTATGTAGGGAATTCAAGGACAGGTAGAGATTACAGTGACAGGTACGGATCTAGGATGGATAGTTACTTGTAAGGTATAACAATCATATTGCTAAACTTCCTGGCTTAGACATCCATGACCAAGGGTTGATCCCAGAGGGGGCAGGCTGCTGACAATGAAATATATGCTGTCGTCGGTGTTATATTAGCGACACGATGTGGTCGTTGGGGTTTATTGATGACTAATTCTTGTGTCTTCAATAGTAAGGATTTGATGTTATTATGTTAAGATTCATCGGTATTGTGATGATTTAGGCTAGGCATCGTCTTTGAATGTTTACTATCGATGTCCAGAGGCGCCCGCCCCCCTGTGCTATCAGTGACCGACCTGATAGAAGCACAATGGAACTAATGAATTAATTCCTGGGTTAATATAGATGAATGGATTCACCTCTACTACTCGTTAGTAAACTACGTGGTACGCATAAATTCATCTGACGTGCTGGAATAAGGCTGCTTTGTTTCTTCAACGTACCTAGTAGATCGTATAAAAAGGGGTAGAATTGTGTAACCATAGATAAACGCTCTGAATACCTACTACACACAGCGAATCGACGATGGAGAATGGAGACCTATGAAATAGACCCTCTAGGCCTGTACAAGAACTGACCTTGTTGTGTTTTTTGATTTGGAACTTCTGTACTTATCCACCTCTAGTCGAAATATGTCTCGTAGGTTGATTCTTTCCCTCTAATTCTTTAAAAATCCTCCCCGCCATCATTTCCGAACCTCTGATTCTGCCCGCACTGAAGAAGAAGAGGTTATTCATTCCCCTTCACAACTTGATTTTCTCCCCCTGATCAAATCTACCTCCTTTGGTGACTATGCTGCGATCGCGAGTACCCCAAGCGCGTCTTGGACGCGTGGCGACAAAACCAATCCTACAGACACCAGCCAAAAGCCTCTATTCCACAAACCGCGCGCCCTCGGCTACAATTCTTAAGAAGGCAACGAAGTACACTCTGGTTGCTGGTGTTCTCGGCGCACCCGGCCTTTGGTGGTTAGCATCCAAACCCACCCGCGCTAACGATGAATTACCGGTTCCACGTTTCGAGAGTGTTCCAGCTAAAAAGTTGACCTTTGGACAACGCCTTTCTCAAGAAGACGTCACACGCATCTTAACGCGATACGCGTATAATTTCCTCGTTAAGGATGTCACCGGCGTCGATCGATACGATGGTGCTCAGTTGGCTTCCAATAGCCCTTGCGAGGACCGCTTCATCCATGGCCAATTCCCTTCGCCGTGGGACGACGGCAGTCAGTGGATGGCCTGGGCTATCTTCGACGGGCATTCGGGTTGGCAGACAGCGTATTTACTAGAGAAACAGCTTCTCCCTATCGTGAGACATAAGTTGGGCCAAGTCAAGGCAGAATCGAAGAAAGAGTCTATGTGGAAAGTAGTACAACGTGCTATCAAAGAGGCGTTCAAGAAAACTGATGATGCAATGATGAACGCGGCGACAGGCATCTCCGAAAGCAAGGAGCCATTTCAGGATAAAGTGAAGAAGATGATCCCCGCTTACACTGGCTCAAGCGCTTTGCTATCCCTATATGACCCTGTTGCCCGCATTTTGCACGTGGCCGGCACTGGCAACTCAAGAGCAGTGATGGCGCAGAAGGCTCAAGACGGAAGATGGGTTACGATGGCCCTGTCAGCAGATCATACTGGTTGGAATCCGAAAGAGGCTGAGAGGATTAACAAGCAGCATCCTGATGAAGGCGATGTAGTCAAAGATGGACTCGTACTGGGAATAGGGGTCACGCGAGCATTTGGCGATGCGCCATGGAAGTTGCCTCAAGAGCTACAGAAGGATCTAAGCAAAAGATTCGGCGCTCCACTGCTCCTTGGGTACAACCTCCAAACACCCCCGTATCTAACAGCTGTACCAAATGTGGCAAGCTTCAAGATCGACCCTGACATCCCTTCATTCCTAATCATGGCGTCGGACGGTTTCTGGAAGTTCGTCACTGATCAACAGGCCGTTGATCTGGTCAGCAAGTGGATAGAATCGCGAGGCAAGCCGCAAGGCAGTCCTAAACCAACGTATGAACCCTTCGACTTTAGTCAGTTCTTGGGTGGGAAGATGAAATGGGAGTTCGTGGAGGAGAGAAGAACGGTCCAAGATGAAAATGCTGCCGTGCATCTAGTGCGTAACGCTCTTGGCGGTAACCATCATGAGTTATTAGCAGGCCGACTTGCGCTCACCGCCCCCTTTTCCCTATCCGCACGAGACGACATAACCGTACAGGTGGTTTTGTTCAACCAACCTGGCCTCAGTAAAGAGACAAAGTAAAGCAACGACGTCTTGACCTCGATGGTATCGATACGGCCTAACACTAACATCTTCTGCGCCTTCGCAGAAGAGGAAGGAATTGATATCGATGAGGATGAATTCGTCTATCCTCAATGGAAATAGGAAATTGATGGCATAGCTTCACTTTGACGGGAATCGTTTAGGGATCGAAACAGATGTGAAGCCTGGCTTGAGTCTAGGGAGAAATGGTGGAGTCATTCATCAACGCCTGATTTTCGATGTTAGCCAACAGGGCCAACACGAAGGAAGGTACCTATCACGATAGGAAAAACAGTTGATGACATGCTGGAAAAGCTGGGTATCAGTCTGTGTATGTAAGAACTATGAACAAGAACTATGAGTTTTCGAAAGTTGCAGTGGCGTTGGCATCCACCCGTAGACCCCCTATTTCTTAATCGTCATAACCTACACCAAGCAATGACCTATCCTGGAAACAGGCATCTCGTCAACCAACTTAATAGTAAAGCTCTATGGCATCGAGGATCTAGGATCACAGAGTTAGTACAAGCCCCTAAACAGCAATTTAACAGTTAGGATGTAGGTACTTACGACATTGGGACTCAGGTAATCGGATCCACTGCTTCCCGAAATCACATTGATCGTAACAGTGTTACTCCCACTAACCAACGTCCCACTCGGTATCGTGCACGTATACACGTCCCCACGGCCTCTATACGCGCCCCTCGTAACACCCCGACTATCAATGGCCGTCGGCGCCGCCGGCGCCGCACACGTGTAGCTATTAACTGTAGCCTGCGGCCGCCCCCCCGCATACGCCAGGGTGGTAGCGATGCGCAGGGTAGCCGCGCTAGTAATAGCGCTCGAAAGCGTGAACGTGATCTTCTGGCCGTTATTCACGTCGGTGAAGATGGCCATCGGGAACGACGCCGCGGCCGTCGACGCCACGCTGCCCGGGTTCCACGCCGACATCCGGGTGTCGGACGGGTGCATCCGCAGCTGCTTATCCGCGTTCAGGAACCCGGTCGGCTGGCCGTCGTAGTCGCCGAGCTGGAACACGGTCGTGCGCTTGCCGACTATGGCGGCGGCGGTGGCGGCGATGTTCGCGGTTGCCGTCGCGGCCGCGGTCACGCTGACCGTCGTCGTCGCCGCGGCGAACTCGTCCTGGTACAGCACCTGCGTGTACGTGCCCGCCACGAGCGCGGGCGACGTGAAGGCGCCGCTCGACGAGGCGTACGCCCAGCCCTGGTAGTCGGCGTTGTACCAGTGCAGGACGATGGGGAAGGAGCTGGACGTGCCCGACGCCGTGCCCTTGACGTACCCGCGGCCCGAGGCCCCCGTGTACCCTGTCAGGCCCAGGTTGTCGAAGAAGGAGACGTCGTAGTCGGACGCCTTCGGCACGCCGCTGCGGGACATGCTGAAGACGTAGGGCCCGTGGAAGCCCTGGCGGTAGCTCTCGGTCTGCGCGTGGTTCGAGTTCATGTAGTACGTCACCGAGTGGTACGATCCGCCGTAGTTCAGGTCGATGTCCCGGAAAAATGGACCGCCGGAGCTCTTCTCCGTTGCTTGGTTGTTGGGGCGGACTGTGATGGGAGGTTAGTGGGTTAAAATAGGGGAGGGGGGATTGGCAATCACATACGCCAGCATGCGTGGATTGAGGCGTCCGTGGTTGTTGCGCAGTATACGCTGTCGTCGATAAAGCGGTCCGAAGAGTAGAACTTGCTGCGCGTTTGGCCGTCAACCTCGTAGACATCCGTGGCTTCGATGGCGGTGCCGCCGGCCGTGTACGACACATTGCCGTTGGGGTATGCTTCAGTAAGACCGGTGAGACGGAAGATGTAGCGCAGCTCTCCTATAGAAGGCTCGGAGACAGTGTATGTGCCCATGTAGATTGCGCTCGACTGGTCTTTGAAGACCATGTAATGGGTTAGATCAAAGTCATCATTATCAGCTACGCACTTAACGATCACGTAGTCGCCTACCAGTCATCTGTTAGTAAGAACTCAGATAGGCTGCTTCATAATTACTTACCACTGGTGGTGTAAGAGACGGTTGCGGAACCTAGACCAGAAGCAATGTGACTGTAGGTACTGCTGTACTGATACTCGGTGCCGTAGAAGTTCAACGACGTGATGTCGCAAGTCGAGCGGCTGATGGCCACCTTGAAGCCATACGAAGCCGCGGTGTCGACGGTGTAGGAGCTGGTGGACGTAGTCACGGTGATACCCAGAGCGGGCGCAATGCAGGCCGAAAGAGCCGCAAGACGTTTGAAGGAAGGCATTTTTAACGAATGAACATGCAATATGATGCACTGACAGCCTTGGCTACCCTTCGTCTCATCTTGACGGTTGGCGACGATCTAGACGATTAATATAGATCTGATCTGACCCATGTCTACACCTCAGAGAGACTCGGCAAAGAATTATGGCGAACGTGAATCCTTGAAACCCTGCAGGCGATCCCAGGGGTTATTTGGAGGTATTATTGGGGAGCCAAGAAAAAGCTACCCAATTAGATGGGACTCCATCGTGAAACCGAGCCCCTTTGACAAGCTCATCCAATTTCCTCCATACGTAGCTTCGTAACAAGTTACGTAGTTCGGCCAAAGTAAGTGGTACTGTTGATGCAAATCCGTCCGGTGGATTTTCCAGCTCGTTACGTACGCAGTAACCCCATCCATTCAGCGGAAAGTGAGTTGTAAATGCAACTCCATGCCATACCATACCTAGGTACCTACCTGTGTATTTTCCACCACTCACGATAGCGTCGCTTTTACTCCTCCTGTGGGCGGACTTTTGTGGGTCCCGCGTGAACACTACCATTTTGGGGTTTTAAGCCTTATGAGCTTCTAGATCTCGAAGGTGTCATTAATATACAGTGTATGAGAGAAATATGTTTAAGTAGGCACCTACCTATTAAGAGACGTCAAGTAAACAATATTTAATGCGAGATCCTGTAGGGACGATGAGGAATCGGAAGACACAAGTACGTGTGTTGATAATCCACCGGGAGGATATCGTATGGTTGAATTGGGATAAGGCACGGGTATCGTCTGACGGCCGGTATTCAAATCAGCTATCGCAGATCCGGGCCGAGCCCCGAAGCTAGGAGGATTACATTCACAGCCTCCGCCGTCTCCTGATCTTGGATCGATGTTGTTAGTTAGTAGGCTACAAAGTCATAGTCTCCGTCCTTAGCTAGCCCACATTGCCCCTGTAACTCCGCTTTTTTGATACAAAGTCCCGATTTCTTGATTCGTGGGGGTTTTCACATCGATATCCGCCGGGGCTCTTCAAATACGATCAGGAGTTCGACTGCACGTGTAAATAGGACTAGGACAGTAGGCCTGGGTTAGCATTACATAAATTACCCATGCATAATCCCTATATTCCTCAACCCCTACTAGTAATCGCCTATCATTTAAAATCTCCTAGATTCGTCCAGCACGACGGTCGTGGCATGTCGTTTTCGAAACCTCGGGCGCTAGATTAGTGCGCATCCCCAGCAAGCTCACCAGCTCTAACTCCTAGGCGCTACATAGTACTGCCGAAGTCTTTCGCGAACGTCTCGCGGGGCTTGAAGACCAAGTATGGACCATCGTGGGTCGACGTGAAGATATCGTATAAACGGAACTCTCCTTTTTGACCTATCCCGACGTCGCCGAGAGTACCAGGTGCAGTCTCGAAGTCGAAGTACCATATAGTCTTAGCAAGGGTTAAGCTGATCTCTAAGTAAGCAGTAGGTTTCCCGGCGCAGCCCCGCGAGCCAGTAGAGAAGACGGCAAAGGCGTCGTGCATCGCCTTCCTCGCAGTAGCTGACTCGTCCGAATCACCCCTCATCAACCAACGCTCTGGGTTGTATATGAAGGGGTCCGGAAAGTATTTCTAATTTCATGCATGTCAGTGATCACAACAAACGCAGGAAATCACCTCATTCGAACGGATGGCAGGCTCCTCGATCAAGTACGACCGGGTTAACAGATAAGAAAGCGCTAACCTCATTGTGATGTAGCGAATAAGTATTGACGCCGACCTTCGTCCCTTTCGGGATGACATAACCATCAACTATGAAAGGCTTGCCACCCTCCTCCTCCGGTGCCAAGTTTCTCCAAAGTGTACCGGGCGACGGCGGAGACATCCTGAGAGATTCATCGATGCACGCCCGCAAGTACTGGCAACCCGCGAGCTTGCTTCCGCAGATCTGCTCCCCGCTCCGGAATGTCGTCCGTATTTCCGTGGCAAGCTTCTCGTAGCACCTGGGGTTCCGCGACAGGTAGAAAAACGTTGCACTAAGCGCCGTGGCGCTCGTATCGCCTCCTATACGAACATCTCAGTGCCTAGTCTTGAAGGAAGCGTGAGCTTGCTGGCATACCTGCTATTATGAAGAAGAAAGCTTCATACCAAAGGTCGCTAAACCGAAGACTGTCGTCACCTTTAGCATTGATCGCGTCCGCAACGTACGAGTACAGATCGCGCTTCGCGTGGACATCCTCAGCCATACGGCTACGGATCATTTTTTCTATCAGGCGCGCCGTCTTCTCTCGTTCTTGGCGGAAGAAGTAGTTGATATAGAGATGTAGCTTATAACGCGGGATCATGGGGATCTGCATGAACACATTCATACGATGGTTGGTTCGCGTAAGCCGTTCGATGAGAGGTTGGTTCTCCTCATCAGTCTGCATGTGCAAGCTGTACCCAAATGAGAGGAGCCCGACGATGTCGAAGCTCAAGTAGCTACATCGGGTTTTCACGTCAGTGGGCTGCTGCTTGTCGTTTGCCAACTGCTCGATGAATATGTCAACCTGCTCTACCATAGAGGGTTCAAAGTCTCGCATGGAGGTATCCGTAGTAGTTCGCCCGACGAGCTTTCGCTTACGCCGGTGCAAATCTCTATCTAATGCGTTCCAAATACTAAACGCGCCAGGCTTAGACTGTGTAACTAGGTAGGTAGGAGCCTTCGTAACTCTTTCATTCTGATATATGTCTATTCTTAGTTAGTAAAGTCCAATGGCTGGCGTATGTGGCTTTTGGAGCTACCTCGTAGAGCCGTGGCAGAACTGAAGACAAGCCTATCTGGTCCTATCCGGACAACAGGACCTGTCGCAAATCAACCATCTGCCTAACAACATTCTTTTTAGGTGACTCTGACGAACCGTATTTCTGGTGGTTTCTCCATATTTCTATGTGAAGTTCTCGTTTATATGCAAAGAACCCAGCGTAGCCATTAGTGAGTTTAGCTATGAGCGGTCCTGGATAAGCCCTCAGGGGATTCAGGAGCACCTGATAGCTCACATAAAGGACGATCTTCGAAAAAAAAAGTCAACAATAGTGCTCAATGAAAACCTTGCAAGGTTATTATGAGGATTACTTACTACAGAAATGAAGCCATAAAGAATATACGTCGCACCGTCAATTAATGTATTAAGTAAAGTCATCCTAGGCGGATTGTCATACCTCTCCAGGAGTATTGCTTTAGTCCGGGGCTGAGTGACAGCTTTCGAGGCAGCATATGGGGAAAACTTTTAAACACCGCCGCTGCCAGCCCGCGAATTATGTAGGGCGACTTTTGCGTTGGGGCAGGAGACCGAAAGCCAACTGTTATGACCAGTCAGGTTATACAAAGCCTGGTGTAGATCTCGGCTCCATAGAGGGCGGCATGCTTTTCATTATTGGTCCACGGTGCACATCGTCTCGTTTGGGTCATTCTTTTTTTTACAATGTTGGAGTATGAGAAAGACGACGAACCAATTGAAGTTACTGCAGTGATCCAACATATGTCTATTGTTACTTCGCTAAAGATGAACGCAACTTCAAAAGGTGGCATAGCATGTACGGAGTGCCATTGTTTGACTATATCTACCAATCTTTAGAGAGTATCGAGGGGCTGTAATAGGGCTTTTTGTGGGTAGATTGGGGAGGCGTGTTACCTGCAGTCCGCCTTTTCAGCTCTCTAGAACGATTAATGCCACTAATTTATGGCGGGAAAAGTGCACCATCCGACCTGGTCCGTGGTATGTTACAGTGATGAACACCCCACTCCTCGCCGTAAGCACCTAAACCCACTCATGAAAATGTGTGGAAAAATCACTTACTTTATCATATCGTGAGACAGCTAGGTAACTCTTTACTACTAGATTGGCAAGCCGGTCATCGGTTTTGTACTTGCGACCGGGAGAGATACCGACCCTAAAAGAAGTCATTCAGGTTTCGAAACCTGATGATTACCTAAGGGATTTGATGTTGACAACCTTCTTATGCTAGATCTTCGCTCAAGTATCCTAGCTGAAGCACTCGAAGCTGAACGGATTATCCACGATGGGAGACGATGAGAAACAAGGCCGTTTCGCAGCTAATACCCATTTGATCAGACCGAAGATGGGAAACCAATTGCGCAGCTCAGAGGGTGCAGCTCAGAGGACACGGTATGATCGTGGCCGAAGTCCCGTCCTGAGTTATCTTTAAAGTTGATATACTGTTCCTTGACCTCCTGAGCGTGACAATATTATTGCCTTCGCTTTGTTGGTACGGTTGAGATGAAACTCAAAGAGGGCTAAAGCAGTATGAGTTCTAGAAGGATTGTGCGAACTGCGAATTGAAATGGATATACCTATCACTTCATCCTCCGTCTTGGGGGCGCGGAAACAAGTTCAGGCCAAAGTAGAGCGCTTATCCAACTTTACACTCTGTTGTCCGATTCCTTCACCATATCGGTTGAAGTTGGCTTGAGACCTGATATGCCGGCCGCCCCCTTGCAGTTAGCTCGATTGGTCCGGGTTTTTCTAACCCCATGGAGTTATTAGGGAGTTATAATTAGACTAGCTCCACTCTGGATAATGTCGAGTTCGAAGTATTCAGGAGGAATAGATTGGTGAGTAGGGCCAATACGTGCCGGCAGTTAGTCATTGTGTTGGAATGACATCAACTTACCACTGCCCGTTTCCCCCCCTTTTCAGAGAAGCGCCGAGGGGTGGGCTATCATGGCCTAAATTGGGCCATCAAATGTAATCCAAGACTGAGATTCTTGAGATCGATTTTTCGCAGTCTTTGCCTTTCTATTATTGTGCTTCGGCAAGGGAGTAAGACTGATATTCTAACAGAATTATAGCTTAAAGGATAGATAAAGGTGTTGAGTCCGCGGTAGCTCGCGTCGAGGGTTATCCCTTATGTTCTTTGCTCCCATAATGGTCGCTGGATGCTTGGCCAGACCTTAAGCAGACAAGATGAGGTCAATTTCACTCGCCACGCTGGCTCTAGCGGCGCCTACGAGTGCATTGATTCGGTTCTCATGCTCCCAGCTTGTGGTCGATCGCATCGACCCCTTAGTCAACCCAGGAATGGCGCCATCCCCTCACCTACACCAGATCATCGGTGGCGTGAGTCGTTCCACGGAGTTTGGAAGGGAAACATGGGCTGACTAATGTAGAACTCGCTCAATGTGACCATGGACCCTGCCAAGGATATGTCTGGCGAGTCTACCTGCACAACTTGCCAGTTCACCGAGGATACGTCGAACTACTGGACCGCCGTCCTCTTCTTCAGGGCTCGCAATGGTACTTACAAGCGAGTTCCCATCCGATCTAACGTCGGCTTCGACGGCGCGGAGGGTGGTATGACCGTCTACTACATGCAGAACGGCTTGTCGGACTACCAGCAAAGATCTAAGGTTACGGCGTTCAAACCTGTAAGATCAAAGTTTCATTAAGAAAACACGTAACTAGTAGGACTGATCGATGTAGGGATTCCGAATGCTTATAGGTGATTCAACGGCTCGAAGCGCTGAACAAGCTACCAAGTATAAGCAAGTTACCTATACCTGCCTCCAAGGCATGCTCACGCGTTTTCCCGAGACCAATTACCTCCCAAACAAGATATGTCCGGAAGGCATCATGGCAAACATACGCTTCCCAACGTGAGTTAAAGATGAGAAAGTGTAACTGCATAGCCGAGCGATGATTTAACGTACCATAGCTGCTGGGATGGCAAAAACCTTGATACACCCGACCACAAGAGCCACATGTCGTATCCAGTCAACGGGACCTTCGACTCGCAGGGCCCATGCCCCGATACTCATCCGGTATGTTCTTAGCTTTCGAACGATCTCCGATGTCCGCAATCTAGATAGTAGCTAACTTCAAGGCAGTGAGTGAAACCATTTCATACCCCTTGTTACCACATCTATGAAGCCGGTACCCAGTAAACTAAAGATACTAACACAGCATGTTCTAATACACTAGGGTCCCCGTTCCCTTGCTCATGTACGAGACAATTTGGGACACCCGGCAGTTCAATGATCCTAACGAGTGGCCTGAGGATGGATCACAACCCTTTGTCTGGAGTATGGGTGACAAGTAAGTGCTTCATTTTCCGGATAGGCTCCTAAGGTCTCGCTAACGCAAAAGCTTCAGCACTGGCTACGGTACCCATGGTGACTACCTTTTCGGTTGGAAGGGTGATGCCCTACAAAGAACCATGGATACTCCATGCTACGTGACGTGCCCTACTTTGACCACACAATCCATCGCCAACCAGAATGAATGCAAGGTTGATAGGACTGTTAAGGAGGATATCGATTCGTGTAAGTTCTCGACTTGGCGCCGAGCGTCAACAGTTTGGAACATTACGTACCTAACAGTCTGTTCAGGGCTACACGAGATTCCTGGCAATCCCCAGATATCAAAGAAATAGCTGGCTGATACGTAAATACGTCATATTGAGGACGTCGGCTGCCCGCGGGCAGCCGCCCAGCTTACCGTATTCGTATTTGCACCGAGTCTCGCTGTGTGGTTAGACCTTCTGATGATCCCTAAAATTTGGCAGGTGGGATATCGCCCGACGCATAATAAACTGTCTATTACCTATCCAGCCGATATCTAGATCCTACTAACTGTTTCTCTCATGAATTTTAGATTTCTGACTAGCTAGGTCTCGATCCGAATCGCAACTACGCTTCATGTCTTGGGTTGATTGGAAAGTAGCAATTCTATGTATGTTTAATGCATATTCAGGAGTAATAAGCACTGCGATGAAGCGGAGAAGGCGAACCTATATGAATATCGTATGCATATAAGTGGTGAAAAGAGGTTTCCCACCTTCTAACCGACCAGCTGTGCCTTGAACTAGCACGAGATTACAACTCTGCCAAGATCCGTAACCATACCGCCGACAGTCTCTCGTCTCCTAACACCTACAAAAGCTTGATGCTGGTTGGTTATATTTTACTTATGTAGAAACCTCAATGCCTAGATGTTTAATGGGCCTACTCCACCCGGTGACTATCGCCAACATAGGTGGTTACCAAATTTGTGGGAACTGTCGTCTTGGGCCAGTATGAGGGATGTTATAAATCACTTGTTTCTTTAACCCTTTTCCCTTAATACTTTCTCTAGCGTATAGTCATGAGTTCAAGACATTTCACACTTCAGTGAATTTGAGCCATAATACTCTTCATTGCATCCGCATACGCCGCGCCACCATATCATGGGGCTACACAATACTACAGGGGACGCCGTGCGACCCCTTCTGCTACGAAGCTTGCTCATTCTGCTGATCATAGTCCTGGTTCGATTCTTCTATAGAGGATATGTTGCACGGGGCCGAGTGAGATCGTTAATCGCCCAGGGAATAGTGAGTGAAACTCAACACACTTCCGACCATGATGTTTGAGACTAGGTAGTCATGACTAACTGATATAAGCCGGTGTTACCACATTCCCTGCTGTTCGGCCATCTCCCGATCTTGGCTAGTTTCCGTGCGGTTCACCCTCCAGATGTCAACATCTACATGTTTCATCGTTGGCTTGCCGCAAATTCTAGGAAGTACTTTCCCGGTCGGGACAGGGTGCCACCAGTGGTCTATCTCGACCTTTGGCCTCTGTCCAGCTCCTTAGCAGCGGTGTTTGATCCCGTAGCTGCGTCTCAGTTCACACAATCTAAGAGTCTTCCAAAGGATCATCTCATGGCTGAGTACATGATGCCTTTAACAGGGAACTTAGACATGGTTTCTTCCGAGGGACAGCTTTGGAAAACGTGGCGATCAAGGTTTAACCCTAGTTTCAGTCCACGGAACCTAACGGCTTTGCTACCAGAAATTATCGAAGAAGCCCTCGTGTTTGTAAACGGACTTAAGGACTTGGCAGGTACGGACGGTAACTGGGGACCGGTTTTCCAGCTCGAAGAGAAGACAATCAACCTAACATTCGACGTCATTGTTAGGGCATCCATGTAAGTGTGAATATGGCATCGTTGGCCTAATACTTCGATATGCTAACTCTGGGCAGAGATTTACGGTTACGCGAGCAGTCACGCAAGTCTAGCAGCCCTCTCAAAGCTGCTTTGTTGAAACAGACCAAGATGATGGGTATGGTAACAGATGTCGCAAGAATGCTACCCCTCGTCAGGATGCCTTGGCACCATGCCGCCATCAGGCGAAATAACGAGGACATGCGTAAAGTTCTACTTCCACAGATAGAGAGCAAGCTACGATCGGACGCCTCAACCAACCAGCAGAAGAAGACCATCGTGGACGTAGCTATGAAGTATGTCGATAAAGACGATCCTAGCGTGTCTAAAGAGAAGCCCGATGCGGTGTTCGTTGATAGACTGATAGCGAATTTGAAAGCGTTCATTTTCGCGGGCCACGATACAACTTCGTCGACCATCTGTTTCATGGTAAAACTGATGCAGGACCACCCAGAGAAGCTAGCAAAAGTCCGAGCCGAACACGATTCTGTGCTCGGACCGGACCCGGAAAAGGCAGCAGAAATCTTAACCACCTCGCCTCACCTCTTATACTCCCTGCCGTACACCTTGGGCGTTATCAAGGAGACACTAAGACTATACCCTCTTGCTGCGACAGTCCGTGATAGCAAAACCGTTTCAGGTTTCGCCCTCACCGTGCCAGGTTCTCTGCCGACTACGTATCCTTTGGATGGCTTTGGGCCATGGCTCGCCGTTCACGGCCTCCAGCGCAATCCCGATTACTGGCCACGGCCAAACGAGTTCTTGCCAGAGCGCTGGCTAGCTGTCGAAGGCGATTCGCTGTACGTCGCTACCAAGGAAGCCTGGGCAGCGTTCTCCCTGGGCCCAAGGAATTGCATTGGCATGGAGTTGGCGATGATCGAGCTTAGACTGGTTTCGGTTCTGATAGCGCGAACTTTCGACATCGAAGAAGCGTGGGCGGAATGGGATGAGAAGCAGTAAGGAAACGCCATACCCAATAAGAATCGCGAATATGATTGCTGACCTGATCTCTTAGGGGCTCCAAAGCTACGCCTACTCATATTGTGAACGGCGAACGTCTTTACGAAATCGGAAGCGGTACAGTGCACCCGAAGGACGGTATGCCGGTACATGTAAGATTGCGGGCTCATAAGCCGGCCCCCTGAAAACGGCTATGTACCGGTAAGTAGGAAATAGACATAACAGCATACTTCTCATTCTCAGCTACCCATTTATCCAGTTCTTGAATGTTGTTGATCCAAAATAAAATATAGTAATGTCTACCTACGTGTTCCCGCTTTGAGGCAATGTTGCGATCTGCTGCTAACGTGATCAATAATCGAAATTTGAACACAATGTCCATCCCTACCGCGGCATTCCAGGTATGAAAGACCGCATATCACTATGAGGAACCTTTAAACTTTCGTTTAAGTCGAGAATGCTGTTTCTCTCAGATATGATTCTGTGATAGCACTATAATGCCAAAGTTAGTATTCGAATCTAGTTACCCAAGTAGTTCAGATTATGTTATACGATCATCGATTGAGACTTGCGTTATATATGTGATGCTTGGAAAAGCATTGCGTCATGAACGTCGGCATGTTGTAAGAATTGATAAAAACTTCGTCACTAGACCGCAAAAGGGGGTTTGGTAATGCATGACCGATGTAGTACATGCCTATATTATTCTAGAAATACCGAGACAGTTTTCTTTTGAAGCTCTGTTAGTTTCTAAGTTTCCCCAATTATTACATCACCGGCAAGATCTGGAGGCTCAACACACTCAGGGGCAAATCAGAGGGGGGCTCTAACTAACCGTACTACCTAGTATAGCACTAGTATAGCTCGAGACTATCGAGGTTATAGATTGTAAGACATCTATATACAATGCAGGTGGTCTAGGACATGAAACCACTCCAATTTACGGCAAAAGATGTTGGAAAGTTGAAGAATCAATGCCGCGTGGGGTGTTTTGTTTAAGATTCTGACTTCGCATCCGCAAGTCCCGCAGGCGAATAGACGGGATCCCTAGTCGGCGTTCATGAATACTCGGAGTAGTTGTTAGAAGTTGAGGTTGTACGGGGCTTACTGGTTGGCGCGTCTTTCCAAGTATACCGTACACCATCTCAAGTAAGCAGGTGGCTTTATATCTGCTACAAATCGCGCGCCTTGTGTCTCGGCTTCAGCGAGTTGCTCGATCGTCAATGCTCTTACTTCGCACTGCGCACCATCTGCCGTTTTCGAGATTTTCGCATCTCGATTCAGTTGTTAGATTCGAGCTGGTTTAGGTAAGTTCACTAGATCAGATAGAAAGTGGTTCGAACTAGGGGCGACATCTCATGCAGGTACGATTTTTAGTCATCATTACTTAGCTAGAATTAGAAACATTCTAGCACCGTGAACACCGTGTACTCGTCTCTATCGAGAAAAAGATCGGCGGCGCCAAATCTCAATCGGTACAAATGCTCGTCAGCGGCTGACGTGATCCAACGATGTTGTGGCTACGGCATCACCCCAACTGTAGATCTTGCATACATATACATGACCACAATGGGCGTTTGTGTGTTGCTGCGCGGCTGTTGCACAGTTCATCTCATGTCAGCTTTTCCTCTGTTCGCAGTGGATTACTCAATGCAGTGGTATGGAGGAGGAATTGCTCCAGAAAAAGGAGGCGCCAAGGAATTGTGACAGGGTGCGAGAAAGCTTGTTTTAGGCCCTACCTCAGTCGGCTCAGCTTCATCCTACCATCCATCGTCGTCCCGGCATACGTAGCCACGTTATAACTGGACCATGCATGTACTATGTAACAAACTATTCCTATGGCAGGCTTCGAGAATATGTATGTATAATCGACATCGTTTTGACATCATAGCTGTTTGAATCTTTGGGTAGAATAATATATTCCATCCTCACTCTTGTTCCTCCTTAAAATCTATATTCGGTTATATCGTATGAAACGCCTAATCGCTCTAGCATGATTTGTCAATCTCGCTTCAATCGCAACATATGTCAACACATATGTACAAGTAATGATGAGGCCGTTGAATATGTTCAAGATCGGCAGCTAGCCACTAGGATGCGGGCATGCATTTATTACAGACCTACCTAGAAAGGTACCTGCAAACCTGTCAGCTACCCGTTTCTACTAAAAGAACCGCCTTGAAACAACAGATCTTTAAATAGTACCACATACCTAAACATGTTGCCCGTCGCATGCACTACCTATGCGAATTGATACCGAGAAGTCTTTCTACACCTTGTAGACCTAGGTAAGCAATTAGAAGAATGTGGCCTAGACGGTTGCACCTCATTGGCCATGCAGACGCGATAAAACTACCCAAGTACGACCGTTTTCTTAATCAACGTCTTCTTCCGTCATTGTCAACCTCGATCGAAATCCCAACCCAAGTCCAACTTGCCCAAATCTGGGCCAGTGATTGGAGGTAGAATCACGTCAAGCTACCAGAATCTGTCGTGAAATGTTCTTGTTGCCCCCACATCAGTCTCTATATACCTAAACGCACCCCTTGTAAGCTAAAAAGGTAACAAACGGCCGCACCGGTTTTCGATCTACGCTCGCTTAATCCTTCTGGACCAATTGACGACGCCGAGGGGCTCTGCCCAATCCTCCCACGCATCATAAGGAATCAAGATATCAAAGTGGCCTAATAGGATCCCGTCAGCCAGGTTAACGGCCAACCAATTTTACCTAAATTTTTCTTTAATATTGCTGATTTCATCCACTAATGCTGATATCACATACGCCCAAACAGAGATGCAATTAGATACAAGTCGATCTTTACCTACCTATAGATTAGGTGATCCCCAATGTTATTATTCCAACGCTCCCAGAGGCCAAGGGTCCCTGGAGTGAATCAGTCCTAGCTAACTTCCTGAGCAAGGGTAGCTAGCTCTGTTATTGTACGTCGACGGATGCTGTCAACCGTGATAGGTAGCTGTTAGTGTCAAACCTCGTGGCCAAGTGGCTAGATGTTGCGTCTCGGTTGTACCTTGACGAACGATGCTGGGCTATGTACGACGGCCTATATCGAATCTGGAGTGCTCCGGGATTAGATGATCGACAAGCCATGAAGTCAGCATGTGATCCTAGATTCCACCGTCAAGCCAGAGGTGAGAACGCCATGAGCCCTAGTGTCGTGGTACCTACCCGATTGAACATGTGTTGGTAAGGGATCAAGAAACATAAAAGGGAGTTGAGCCCGACCTCCGTTCCAGTCCGGATTCTTCTCACCATCATCCGGAAACCCGTCGACTACAACACTAACCATAGCAGCTCCAGCCGGCCCTGTTGACGCAGACAACCGCCCGAAGGACGATATACCCGATTTTCATCGAGATTATATCCAAGCTATAAGATAGTCAGTCGTAAAAACAACACAGATCAACCATGCGTTCATTCGTTGCTGTGTTGGCGGCAGCCGCCTCTTTCCAAGGAGTCACCGCGGCTCCGGTGGACGAGCATCACTCTCACACACCCGTCACGCACACGCGATGGCCTCACCCTACCGGTGGCTGGCCTCACCACCCCAGCCACCACCCCAGTGGCGGATTCCCGCACCACACCGGTAGCTGGCCTCCCCATCACACCGGAAGCTTTCCTCATCACCACCACACCGGAGGCCCTCGCCATTCTAGCAGTGCTCTGTGGGAGAGAGATGAGGAGGAGCACAAGTCCGGCCACGCTCATTCCACGGGACACCACTCCCACCACACCGGCCATCACTCAAGCCACAAGCCTCACCACACTAAGAGCCACCACAGTGGCCATGCTCAGCCTACCGGCCACCACCATCACTCTACTAAGACCCATCACACCAGTCACCACTCGCAGCCCACCGGCCTCCCTCACACCTTCCCGGGCAACGAGAAGCACCACACTCCTTGGGGCCATGGCACCGGCACAAGCCACCACCACCACCCTCATCCCACCGGGGAACCTCATCACCACCCCCACCCGACTGGCGAGTCTCACCACCACCACAAGAGCCACTCGTCAAGCGCCGCCACGACTACTACTACTAGCGTCGCCGTAGCCGAGCCCAGCAGCATCAGCAACGAGAAGCGCGACGGCGACCACTGGCCTCACCACCACCACCCTCACCCGAGCGGCGGCGTCTTCACCACGATCACCATCCCCGGGTTCCCGCACCACCACCCGCGCCCCAGCGGTGGCTTCCCTCACCACCACCCCAGTGGCGGCGTCCCTCACCACCACACCGGGCGTCCTCACCACACCGGACACCCGCACCCGCCCGAGGTCACCGAAGTGCCCCGCCGCGCGCGCCAGGTCCTCCAGGAGATGCCGCGCGTGGTGCAGGAGGCTAACTAAGGGGGTTTGGCTTACCTACTACTTAAGGACTTGGGTATTCAAACAAAGCCCCTGCCAACAAGGCTTTGTTGTGGGCGATACCTTACCCCTAAGCTGTACAATAGATAATAGGCGTGTAGGATTAGTGGTGGGTTAGAGATGGGTGAACGGACAAGGCAAGGCAAGGCAAGGCACGGTGAAAGGGGTTCACTAGAGGATCCGGAGGATTCTCTTTTTTCCTTTGTATCTTTTTAGAACGTTGGCTTGGCTTGCGGGGATAGACGGCGGGACAACGCGCTGAGTGCGGGATTGGATTCGTTGGGTGGGACAAAGATAAAAATGCCCTTCAGATTGGACAATAGTCCCGCGTGTCTTTGAATATTCAGCGATTCCATATCTGCGTACTCAGCGTGTCCTCTCGCTACCTTCGATTCTAAATTGCTATATCGATAGGTGATGCCTTAGGATATTGCGATGGTATATATTTATCAAATCATTTTGGGACTGGATTTCAGATTTAGGTGTGTCAATAAGGTAACGCCACTTTGTCTCGTGAGGCTTTTCGTGTGATGAGTTTGAGCGTGGGGGTTAAACGAGATGAGATATTTGCAGCACGGATGGAATGGAAGCATCTAGTGCACACCGTCGTACTTCGTAGGTACCTAACAAAACGTGTCCCATGATAAAAGGTACGTATTATAAAGCCAACTGCCAGCAACCAACTGAAAAGAGGGTGAAGTGATAAATGGTTATACTTGCATGGCACGTACCTTAGTGCATTCGTATGAAAAAGCGGTGATGAAAACTTGGGCATATCGAGAACCTTAAAGGTGAATGTTATTTGGGGAGTATTTCTTAAGTTCGATGAATTCAGGGGATGTCCTTTGATTTTCAATGGAAGCCGCCACTACCAAAAACTTAAAATTATGGAGTGAACATTCCAGTGATTTTAATTTGTCGCGACCAAATTCTTCAAAACAACATTTTGTCGTGCATGTACCTAACAAATTCTATAATAACCCCAACCATCTCCGTCATCGATTTTCAAACACGGACATATCGATTGCTAGGACGACCTGCGAATGCAAATCAATTGAGTATCGTGGGCTACGTGCGATACTACCATTGGCACTGTCAATTTTACTGTACCATACAGTGCATCAACCTAACCATACAGTAATTTCGTCGGCGGTCGGTGACTTTGCCACGTGAGCCACTCGGGTGGGTACCATTGGCGGGCAAAAATAACAATTACTAAGTCGGTGTTAAGGTTGTCGCCTGGGCAGCAGGGGTCAGGATTAAGGATTTTCAAGGGTCCTGGGTCCTTTTTTCTCTGGGGTCCCTTTCACTGCAGCGTTTCAACAAACTCGGTGTGCGCCTCTTGCATCTTTCTCAGCTTCTGCGACATTTTCAATACGTCCTTTTTCCTCTTTTCATCGACAATAAGCAAAATATCGCGATTCGGATAATCAAGTTAATCTCTCGTTTCTTTTTTATCAGGGTTTTTTTTATTCTTTTTCCTTCATCGAGATACCATGCGCGGAAGCGCCGTTTCGGCAGCTTTCACCGCGCTTAAAAACCCCCTTTCTAGACTTGGCCGTGCCCATTTATCCACTACATCATTTCACAGCAGCTCCGGAGCTCGACTCGGAGGTAACATTCGCAAGGCCAGCACCATTCCGCACAGCGTCGCCCATTTCCCCCATGGCCAGCAGTTTGAACCAGGTGTTATTCTAAAGGGTTACTCTGGTCGAGAGTACACTATCGAAAATGTTCTGCAGGACAGACAAGACCGTCAGGTCTATCTCGCCAGGTAAGAAAAGAAAAAAAAGCAAGAAAACTCCACTGAAATGACGTTTTTTCGCCTTTGTCACCGCTTATGTGGGGTCATCGGACTCAAAGTCTATCAATTCTAACAACTCGACAGAGCGAATGAGAAGATGTTCGTTTTGAAGAGTTTATTCGAGAACGAATACAACTATGCGCTTCCTCTGCAGCTCAGGTTCAACCACTCGCCCTACTTACGGGCTCTCCGGGATACCGTCCCGGACCAGAGAATGTTCGTCAATGAGTACATGACGGACCATCTACTCAACTTCGTCTTCAAGGACCTATCTCTTCCTATGCAGAAGCGCGTACTCCGAGACACCCTTCGAGGACTCGCTGCTCTGCACAACCAGAACATCGCGCATTTAGGTGAGATTCGACCACTTCGGACTTAAGCTCGGGCCTTTGCTGACTTGGCGTTTCAAGACATCAAAGCCAACAACATAATGATCGACTACCGCGAGACTCCGGCTGGGCTTGTTGTTGACCGAGTTCAGCTGTCTGACTTGGAAGACTCGACTCACATCCCGCCTGGACAAGCTCTTCGCGGACTCCAAGTCGGCAACCAGTTCTGGCGCAGTCCGGAGGCGCACGTTCAAGGCGCAGTGGGTAAGCCCTCGGACATTTTCTCCTTGGCGCTCGTGGTAAGTTCGCCGGTTTCTACTTATACTTTGTGGCTACATATACTAAACGCCTCGACAGTTCGTATTCATGCGCCTAAGAATGGTCATCTTCCGGATCGACAGCGCGCCCGGCGTCGACCTGCAGAAGCCCATCATCGAACGGCAGATTTCTACCTTCGCCGAGTGGAACGACTTCGAATCCTTTATGGATTACCTGGGTCGCAGACACCCTTGGGCTGGCGAGCTACGTCGTATGGCGGACTCCTTCGGCACGGAGAACCCGCGACGGCCGTTCTCGCTCTGGAAGAGCGACGCGCTCGACCCCGAGTTCAAGGATCTGATCAAGAAGATGACTAACTTCGATCCCCGACGAAGAATCACGGCGCAGGAAGCCCTTGATCACGTCTGGTTTCACGATGTTCCCGAGTAAAATTGCGCTCGCTTTTTCTTTTACTTTTTTCGGTACCGCGCTTATGCGAAATGGTTTCAGGGATACGGAACCACTGGGCAATGGATAAGGTCAATAAGCAAAGTTTTTTTATAGACTGATAAAGGGTTCTTATGGATAGAGGTGAGGGTATAGACAACAATCAGGCACGATACAACAACAGACGGACACGAATACAGACACAAGCAAGATAGAGTAATCATAATGGCGCAAGCAACAACCCATCCTACCTACTTGAATTCAGCGTATTTGATCCTGCACGTATTGTGGCTACCTAAGTCAGGCTGGGCATGGCCTTGGCGCTTCGATTATGGTGCGAATGCCAGTTTGTGAGATCGTGAACCTAGGACGAAGTACAAGCCAAGCCAAAGCCGAGCGCCATCTTGTAATCCAACTTTGCTAATATCAGATATCCCCGCCTGGTATCTTAGGACCGTTGTGTTGAGGTTAGGTGTACAATATTTGAGACAGAAGCCACGCACTTTTAACGTATCATGCTTCTCAGCCGGTAAGGCATGATCTCAACATTGGGACGCACTTACGTAACCTAAAGTTGCACATATACCTGCGAAACCTGACAGTATTTAAGTAGTTTACCACCAAATCGAGGGTTGTCAAGTTTCACAACATACGTTCATCACCTTATACGGTACATTTGCATAAGACCGACAGTCGGTTGATATACCTACCTACCTAGATAACCTCATCGACTCGCGCCTATTCCCTCATATGTTAAGATATGTGAGGATCTAGTGAACAACGGTAATGGTGTCCTATTTATATAAACAATCTAGGAATATTGATTACGAGGATTCCATGAATAGGTATGCCGATGATGCATGGTTTGGGAGTACGGATGAATAGGTAAGGGATAAAGTAAGGGGGGTTTAGTCAAGTGTGATGACTAACGTACTTACAAACCGCCGACATGGTGGATGAACTTATTCATCCATGAGAACGGCGTGGTAAGCTGGAGTCAATTACACTTTTTCGCTAGTATCATCTCTTATAGTATTATCCACATTCGAAACGTATGGCACCACGCTGTTCAACGTGATGACTAACGAGTCTCGGGAGTGCTTCGAGTATGGTGGAAGGGAATTATGGTAAATAGAAGAAGCTTCAAACTTCATCTGACCTTATAGTACCTATGTATCAGCTAAAGCTTAGAAATGAGGAAACGTAGTTGCATCTTGACTATCTACTTGCTTGGTAGAGAAGCATGTTTCTGACAAGCTACGCTTTCTATCTATATTGAAGCTAAGGTTACCTATGGGGAAAAGGACAGTCTGGAAATACACCATATGTCAGATGAGAAGTACTGTTTCTTACTACAAGTGCTTAATAACCAGATGTAACTTTCACTTTGCTTCCTCAAATAGGTGTCCAAGTACTTCTCCTTCCGACCCACAATAATACCCCTATTTAACCCCCTTTTGCTCAGAATGATCCTGTTCAAGGGATGATCTTCAGCGGCCTTTAAGGTCCAAGATCCCGTTCAAGCGATTAGAAATGTTTTTAAACCTCGTGCTAGTTGTTTTTTTCCTATCAAGGCTGCCTCAAAGTCGACCGCAAACTATGATGGTATTCGCGATATCCGTCCGTCTTGGCGCTCATCGCCGCGCAGGAGACGGGATCAGGAACATGCACAGACACCCACATCTTCGTATCTCGAAAGAACAACGAGCAATCCGTGGCGTCAGGGCAAGCCCATATACCATACGTCAACTTCCTGTGTCTAGCGTTACAGAATCCAAGATAGATCGCATATTGGTGCAGTTAGTTGGCGGCATGGAGATCCCAAGCTCCTTAGACTCTATGGATTGACGGAATAGCTGCCTTTTCCCACAAAATCTTAGACACAATGATAATACATATTGATATTAGCTACATTTGCTTGATATTTAATGGAAATGTTCCCGTAATGTTAATAAACCACAAGTCCTAAAATCATGATGAATCGTTCCAATCGAACGGGCCACCATGGTGATGAAGCCCAAGTGCAAAAACCATCCCATCAAGTTCATTATTAATCTTCGTTGGTTAACTCGAGCGCCCAGCTTAATCACTCCAACTCATCCAGAGCCTTGTTGCATGCTCTGTCGGCATGGTTGTTCTGTTCTCTCGGGATGTAGACATACTTGACGATGCCTAATTCCTTGATGCGATCATCTAGGTCGGAAGCTTCCTCGATCATATCGCGATTAACCACTGGCCCGCCTCGTGCGTTCCTCCATCCGTTATTAGCCCAAGTATAGATCCATTCGTTCATGCATCCAACTGCGTATCTAGAATCTGAATGGATGGTGACATCTAGCTTAGGGTCTGAATCCAGGTTGTCGTATTTTTCTAGTGCCAATTCCAGAGCCAGTATGATAGCTAGGATCTCAGCTCTTTGGTTTGTTGCGTTATATTCATATGTAGATAGGGGTTTTGTCCAATGCTGGCATACATTGGGATTGGAGCTCATCCAACAAGCGGCGGCAGCTCCGATAGCGCCATCGTAGCCGTTGCGTCGACAGCCGCCGTCGACATAAAACTTCATTATATACACCATGACGTGTTATGAGTCGGGGTTAATGATTACGGGTAGCTTGATGAAGTCTAAACCGTAGTATGGGTAGTAGTTAGTATGATTCTCCCCTGATTAAACGAGTGTCCTTGAAGAGAATAAAAGGGACCTACGTGTGTAAACAAGATAGCGAGACTTCAGGTTAAGGAACCATCAAGTACTTAGTTGATTATCTCCTAAGAAACTACATGGGAATCTTCTACGAGGGTTCAGGTCAAAAGTTTCGCACCCAACGTTTGCTCACGGGCCAAAACCGTGTAAGTTAGAAATGCTTGCACCGTGTGGAGCCATTCTCTAGTGGCCGAAATCCCTAATCTATAGCGGCTGTTCACTAGAACTTAGCCAACAGATCACTATTATATCCAATAGAAGTCTTCCAGCCTAAGGCTAATACAGTATCCGATAATTGATTATTGATCATGCTGACCCAGCGTTACATTTGGCATTCCACAAACCAAACAGAGGAGGTTGTTCTGTTTGTCGTTGGCCGTTTACAGCAGACAACCTAGAACGTGGAAATTCTTTCGTCTCCTAAAATGTAGTTGACAAAGTCCATTCATTTTGTTTAAGTAGTCCCATCATTATGAGGGCCTCACGCCTCACCTATTTACTTGTTTCCCCTTAAGTTTTTTGTGTTTAGGCCTCTTAGCACCCTCGTCTACTCGTGGTATAGTATATTACGGGACGGTAAAACTGCATTGGAGAACCTAAGTGACTAGGACCACCCTTGCTACTGACATTGACGGTATCGCGAACTTTGCTACCCGACCACCTTTTCTTACCTATAGGTAGCTTAGGTACTTTTGGTCTCGCCGTCCTTATTACTCTTAGGATCTTAATCCCCTATTCGCATTATTAATAATGCTACAATAATGAATTCGGGCAAAGAAAGACGAATTTCTAGACGTTTATGTTGGATTATATAAATTATTCGATGATATTTTGTTTGTTTCTTGTTTGTTGACCGCTCTACTTTTAGCATTGTCATATATGTTAATTGAACAGGTTCCTTGATCAACAAAGTTGTAGTCATCCTCAAAGGAAAGAATGTGTAATTAAGTGATCCTTTGGGTCTTGGTTTGAATGTAACAGGGCTGGTATAATTGGATCTTGCGCAATGATGTCTCATCAGAGATTGACTTCCTTATATCAAGCGTAAAGACGAAGCTCAAGTTGACAGCTGCCGATCCACCTGGCTAGAGGAGAGAATAGCTCATCCCATATATAGTATTCAAAAGAACTACCGCAATCCAATAGACAGCGCTGCGAGTTGTATTACGACGGTCAGGGGTGCACGTGACTTTGTGATTCACGTCACGTGATTATGACTCCTGGTCCTGCTTGTCGACGGTCAGGTTCTGGCAGTCGGGTAAACTCTGGTTCGGGACCTTTACCTAATGCCATTTCTGACTGCTATCTGTAACTGTAAGGTGCATGAGTTTCCCTAATAAATTCAACTGAGCCTTGAGGTTCAAGGACATCCATCCAGAAAAGGTAGGTACAGGGTCTGACAGTTTGTACGAGCTACAGATGCACGCTTGCGCTAGCGCACTAAAACCCGTACTAAATTCGATTTCTTGCAGGGATCTTCGCAGCTCTAGATCCCACTAATTCAAACCCCACCAATCCTTAGAAAGTTTCTTAAGACATCCATCTTTTTACAAACCCATTTTGCAGTCTTTAATTCTGCAATTCTCTAATATCAGAGTCAATTCAGTCGGTATAAAACATGGCGGAGATTGAAGATAAGATGGGTGATCTACCTCCTTCCTCCGGAGTTTTGGTGGATTCGGCTGTCGCCGTAAAATCTGAAGTTCAACCTGCACAAAATCCAGATCAGACCGAGAAAGTTCTAGGATCGAAACGACCATACCCGGACGACGATGGCCATGAGAAAGCCGAGAACGATGCCAATTGCAAGCGCCACAAGTTAGAGAATGGTGCAGAACCAGATGTGCTTGCTCCTGCACCTTCGTTGACATCCGATCCCGCTTCCTATCCTACTTCCGTTATCACTACCACCACCACTGCCGCTCCCGTCCCTACGCTATCCAAGAATCAGCTGCGAAAACTAAGACGACGAGATCTTTGGGTAGAAAAGAAGAAGGACAAGCGGTTAATACGAAATCAGAAGCGCAAAGAAAAACAAGAGCAAAAGCGCATTGAGAAGGAAGCAGAGATTGCCGCTGCCGCTGTTGAAGGAAGGGAACCAATATTCGACGAACCCCAGCGACAGCCCAAGCCAACCCAAGTTCAAGCACCTGTGACTGTCATTCTCGATTGTCAATTCGAAAAATACATGATGGAGAAGGAGTTGGTATCGCTATCAAACCAGGTCACACGCTGCTATTCCGACAACAGAAACTCCCGATATCCCGTCCACATGTTCGTGAGCTCTTACGGAGGCCACATGAAGGAAAGAAACGAGACCATCTTGCAAAATCAATTCAAGAATTGGAAGAATGTCCATTTCGTAGAAGGCGATTTTCTTGATGCAGCTACTCGGGCCAAGGAATTAATGGGAACTCCTAAGGAGGGCCAAGCTATCGAGGCCCTCGCGCAAGGCAAAGAGGGCGATGCCATTTCGCTGGTCGTGCCCGATCATGACGGCAAGAAGAAGCAAAAGTCTGCACCTGTTCCGGAACCCGAAGTGTCCGACGTAGATAAATCTATTGTCTACTTGACCGCCGATTCGCCATATACCATTGATCGCCTCGAACCTGGCGTGTCTTATGTCATCGGCGGTATTATAGATAAAAATCGCGAGAAAGGTTTATGCTACAAAATCGCACGGGAGAAGAAAGTCCGCACGGCAAAGCTTCCTATCGGCGAGTTCATGGTGATGCAAAGCCGCCACGTCCTAGCCACGAACCACGTCATGGAGATCATGCTCCAATGGTTAGAAACGGGTGACTGGGGAAAGGCCTTCATGAAGGTAATTCCTACGAGAAAAGGCGGGAAGCTAAAGGAGGATGGGGGTAAGTCTGAAGTAGGGCAAGCAAATCCTGAAGTAACCACACCGGAAGATCAGTCGACGAACAACGCGGTTACAACCGAAGACGTCGACGTGACCTCTCCGCAATCGAATGAACCTAGAAACCCTACAACTCAAGAACCTGACGGTCCAGCCCAGACAGAGGGCGAGGGATTGGATGGTTTCAACAAGGAGGCTGAGAAGATTTCATCCGATCAGCAACCATGGTCAGTGCCGCCAGTCCAGCAAGCAAGAAAAGAAACACTTGCTGGCAACACTCCAACTAACCAAGATAGATGTACGGAGACCACCCACGTCCGCGATAAGCCGGTCAGCTGGAAAAAAGGGCTTGCTTCTCTTCCGCGCTCAAAGATCACCAAGAACAGAGTGCGAGAATGGCGAATGAAGGTTGCCATCGCCATGGTCACACCCAGCAGATATCTGAAGCCAACGAGCAGTAACAACACTTGAGCGACTACCGCACTTTACAAGCTCTCACATCCTACTTCACAGAAGACCGAACGAGACTACGAGAGCCTATCATGTACACGGCATGGAATGCATGATGCGTTCTTCTTTGTATTCCTCTCGAGAGATCCGGGTACAACTCGGCCCAAATTTGCGGTTAGTATTCGGACGACCACCTTTCACCCCTACTACTCTTGCCTGTGCTCCGAATGGTTAGGTACATAGAAGCCTTGCAAATCAAAACTCCCGAACTCGTGATCCGTCCTAACTATAACATTAAGCTTTAGCAGTTCCTAGAAATGGCCATAAATATGATGTATATCCTAGTTGAATGCGAATATTTTGATTCATTGTGGCCATCATTCAGATGAGTTCCAATTTACCCCTGAGCTCGTGTTTGGAGCTTTATACCCACCACAAACTTGATCTAAGGTGAACGAAACCAATGTGTGACATACTTCAAGAGGGTCTCAGATCCATTACTTGATTCTGTTATCTAACATGAATAATTATAATAGTTAATATACCAATATACCTACTACATCTAGGTAGGTACGACCAACGAGGTGGTTAAGTATATTGCTCAAGGTTCATAGCGACAAAACATGTTATGTACCCCCTTTCCTTCACAACTCATATCGTTTCTGTATCAAGCAGTGACGAGTCGCCAGTAACCGATAACCACACAAGTTTAGGTTTTAATCTGCTCGAATTTTCTCAAGCACACTTTGCTTCAGCTACATATCGAAAACTTCAATGTTTACCAACCTCATTGAATACAGCAAATTTAACAGCACTCAACAATACGAAATGGAACGCAACCAAGTACAAAGTCGAGGCCTTGACCTTAGGAGGCGGCTGGTCCTCCATATGGCTGGGAGTCAATAAGAACAGCAACGCATACGTACAGCGTCAAATGGACAGACTGTTAGCATGCATCGACGACAACGATATCTACTGTGGTGATATGATTGTGGTATCAGACACTTAGGAGATATATCAGGACACAGACGTCCAGCCATATCGTCGCAAGATGGTAACACCTATCCGTTCCGACCGGAGGACCTCCGGGTTATGAACAACTACTCTTTCGCAACGATAGCTTAGCCCAGTCGTATTGAGGAGGTATCTTCACCCAGGCCCTTATAAGACTACCTTATAATTGGTAGCACCTACGCTTCGGCGTTGCTGTATACACCACTTGCAATCCTCGACCCCTCGCCGTGGCAAGGATGCCAGCGGATCTCGCAAATCCAGGACAACAGTACGCAGGGCCGTTCACTATGAACGAACAAGTGGCACGATTAGCTTATAGATTGAGGTTTGTTGCCGAAGGACACAGCAGTTGCAACATGGATGTCTGAATCATGACGACAACGTCATCCCTTAACCTGTGGACTCGAAAAGGCCCGCGTAACTGCTAGGAGCGATGACAAACCGCCAATCCCCGTCCTAGAGGGAAGGTCGGCTGCTGCCAAAAATTTGGCCATGAAGAAATCTTATTGCGGGCTATGCGACGTGGCTTTTAACATCAAAGGCCACCTGGACAAGCATAATGCGTGCAAGAAACATATTGCCAAAGTCGATGCTGTGCGTCACGTTGTACGTGACTCTTATGGTATTCCGATTACGAACATCACCTTCCTCCAAGACATGCATAACCACCTATCTCATCTTGGTATTTGGTGCGTGCTCGTATATTGGGGATCGAAGTGCATCCGGACGACAGATGTGCTCGCGTTCTCTATTCCGGGTTTTCCCCAGCTCCAACTCATCCGAAGGCCCCAAGGGTCTCAAAGGGCGCGCATTTTATGATTATATATAAGTATACGCGGCGGACGATTCCAAAAGTGCTTCCCTTATGTAGTCTAGCCAGCGAACATCAGCACTGATATATCAACCAACGACTAACGGGGATGTCAGGGCTCAGCCCTCACTGAGTCAGCAAATGTTAATCCTGCTAAACAGGACATGTGTCATTGGTGCAGCGAGACCCAAATATAGAAATACTGACCTTCTACTATATCACGTCCACTTTTAAGGTGAGACCAAGCAGGAGGATTTCACTTTCTGGGATATTTAATGAATACTTCCATACATGAGGTGTGCCCTCATTTTTTATGTCTTACTATGATGGGCTTTTCAGAGGCTGGCTCTCAAGTTCTACTGGCGTGTGCGATTGTGTCGCCAATGTGGTCCCTGGCAATTCAGTATGCCACTGAGCAACACACACCGGGTTATTTAGACCTGCCATCTGCGTGTCCTGCAATTCCGCCACTCCAGCCTGCCGCCCATCGATTTCTTGCGTATCCTGCCCATGCAATTCTCCAGGAGCATTCTCGATCGACCATGTCCGCCTCCTTCTCCACGGAAGTAGCCAACTCATTCTACTACGCCTTTTGAGCAGGCTGTCGTCATTCGAACCGGTGTTTACGACCGTTCCAAGGCCCTGTTTATCGCTCCTCTTTCGCCATCGACGAACACAGGCGAGGTAAAATATCGTTACTAGCAATACTACAAAGGCTACAGCGCCAATGCCGATCCCGGCTTTAGCCCCTGTCGATAAACTGCTCCGGAGCCTCTCATCCCCGCCGTCCTGCCCAAGGTCATCTGCGGTAGAGGTGCTGGTAGGAATGGCCGGCGTCACCGAAGACCCCGAGCCATCTGTTGTCGTCGGTAAAGGGGCAAGTCCCATAAGCGCTCTGAAGGAATTTGCAACGGGGGCCGAAAAGTAAGTAAGGTCGCCTTCATTCCAGACTATATTTATAGGCTCCATTATCCCCACAACGGCTGTTCCCAGCGTCGTCGTCGGGAGCGTAGACATATCATCCTGGCTCACCGTCTCGTCCGTAACGGCGGCGACGACGGGCGGTGCAAGCCCCGAGACGCATCCCGGGTGGTCCGTGTACCCATCGTGAATCGATACCTTGTAAGCTCTATCACAACGTCAATATAAGTATAAGAACGAGGAAAATAAAATCGATTTGGGTCTAAAGCCCCTTTCTAGGAAAGGCGATGAAATACTTCGCAGACTTACGAGCTACAGCACAGCGCCACGTACCATGACGCGCCCAAAGTTCCCCCGTCATTTTCCACCGTCACATCGAGGGACTTGATTTCCTGGCCGCTCGGACATATCCCAGGTCTATAAAACGTATTCGCGCCGTTGAAAGGCTGGCACCATTCCGCGTAGTCCGTGTTGTAGTCCCGATCCTTCCACACCGTGCCCGGGGTCTGAATGTCGTACACCCAGTCCTCCTCGCAGGCCACCGTGGGCGTGAAGGTCGTGAGAAGCGGGACGAGGTTGTCGAAATCGGTCACGGGCCCCGAGACGGTTGTTATGGTGCCGGGAGGTAGAGTTATGGTCATGACGGAGGAAGACCCTCGATGAGGCGCGGTTGGCGGTTTAAAGGAGTCTTCGTGAGGATATCTGCGTGTCTCATCCGACGAGCCTCAAGGAAGGAAAGATACTTTTCTTCGTTTATCACCTGATGCAGACCAACAAAACTCGGCGGTCGGACATGGGGCGGTAGGTATCCAACGATCGGCCATTGCGGGTTGTTGGTGGAGGCCATTAGGTATGGGTCTCGTTTTTATCTTTTAATGTCCGAAAAAAAATGATTGGGTTAAGAAGGGACCGTGTTTTTGAATACGATCAAATCAAATGACATATTCCGATCTGTTAGGACGAGAATATTGCACACTGCATCTCCCTTGCTTCGGTGGCCCAAGGGATTGGAAGCTTTTCTCGTACAGAGCTGCAGTCCCTCGTTCCTCGGCGCGTACACGTTGTACGAGCCTAGCTGAATTCTCATGATTATAAATATTCTGTGATTGATTTCAAGATATTCGATCTATTGGGATGATACTATAGAATCTGAGAGAATAGTTGTGTCCAATGACTAGTCGCGATGGAAACCCAATCTCCAGTTCACTGTATAGTAAACTAATCCACGTCTAGGTGATGAGGCGTTTCTATATCTATATACGGTTATACTGCTTAGCTCGTTCTTAAAGAGATCATATTGGTATTGCTATTTGCTATAGACGACTTTGACTCATGATACCCGTCGACATCGTCCTTATCGAGGAAACACTGACGATTAAGAATTATGGTTAGAGCTCAATGGTCCACGGCAGATATCTAGAGTATCACTCTGTCGTATTATAACGTCATTCAGTTGGTAGGGCCGATTCGGTGTATTCACGAATAGAGAGACTATGATGAAGATGGTCTACGTAGCATGTAGGGCGAAACCTCCCCAGATAGCTCCTAACCAGTCACTAGATCCTGTATGAACTTCAACTTAACGAGGTTTTCTTGTTTATACCAAGAGTATCTCATCCTGGACTGCCTGAATAAATCATGTAACCCCCTGCTAATCCCTACTCATTTTGTGTTCTAATTCCCTACACTCCAAGTTCGCTACGAAATGTGTAGTTAAGTATGAGAACTAGATCATAATTACATCTTATCTGAAGTATGGTGAGGTAAATTATCATTGTTGAGGAATTTGCCCCTATTTCTCTTTTATCAGAAGACAAATATAAAACATTATGTGTAACATCCCCTTATTTCATAATAGCCAAATAGTTAGGTGAGTTTCGCACCCCAAAGCACATACCTCTTGCAAATGACTCTATTACTTGAGGTAACAACACGATATCATTCGAGTGGTAGGTAGAAGTAGGTGCAGATGATACCGATTGATAGACACCGAGCAAGTGAACATAAGACATCCCGTATCACACAGGAGCCGCATCACATACCCATACCCACCATCACAAGGCTTATGTAAACGGCACTCCTTCTCGTACACCCTCCCTTTGACCTCTCACTCCTCGCGCACCCGTAGCCCCGACTCGGAATTCGGCAGAGGTCTTAGTTCCGGAGCGACGACACTTCCACATCCCGGAAAGAACCCCCATAATAATACGCTCCCCTTTCTATCCTATGCCGCCTCGCTCTTCGGCTGTGGGTAGCGGTAGGTTTGCCAGGTATGTTTCGTACGGTTGTATGCCGCGCGCTATTTTAAGAACAGGGACATAGTACCGTAGCATTGAACATACTACGACGTACCTGCTGTAGAGTCGCAGACGCGCAAGTATAATATATATCTTATCAAGCGGGAGGGGGAGATGGGAAAGCTACCCTACCTTTGTGGGCGCACCCTATTTCGCAAGCAGCCGAACGGATATCGGATGGAATTTATCCATGTGCGTAGTAGTACGTAGGGAGGTAAGTAAGTCAGTAAGTAGGTACCTAGGTAAGTGCTCGTTGCTCGCCCGCTCACCCGCGGGACGGCGGCTGGTAGATCGCGGATGGCGTGTCGCGCGGCAGGGTTTTGCCAGCCGGCTAATTTGGAACGAACCCTTCCCACGCCTCGCTTCCTCGCTTGCGGTTTGGGACATCGAGCAAAGTTCCCACGTGTAAGTCTGTATACATGGGAATAATTGCGTGGCAAGTTGGTCTGCCCTCAATACGTGTTTCTTCGCCTCATAGAGAAGCTAAGCCAGTAAGCTAGTGACGTTTCTGGGTGAGAGATCCGGTGTAGACAAGACACTATTGAAAACGAAAGCTAGGCTTCTTGCCACACCTATAGACGGGTACTGCCGCCGTATATTCAACGGCATCCTGCGGAAAACTACTCTTGTTTCTTTTTTTAGACCAAAGCTTTAGAGAGCATCGTAGCTAGGTCGGTTGGCGGGAAGAGAAATGAACCCTGAGGACAGCAATACCGTCACTGCAACCTCATAGCGGAGTCAAATATCCTAATTTGCTAGCTATTAGACGCGCGAGCGAGTGACTTGACCTCTGCCGGGACCGCCGAATGTCAGTGTAGGTCCAGACAGGAAGATATTTATAGAGTCGGTAGTAACTCTATTCGGGAAGCCGAGAACATAGCTACCTGTAGGTAATTAACAACCTGAGAGGCCTCAGACTTGTTAATCTACATCACGGAAGATACCCGGATACTATTCTCCTATCAAGTAAACGCGTTAAGTTCCAATCTTTAGGATGCCATGGCTTACCTAACCTTCACATTACTCTAGGGTGGGAGGTGCTAGGGCACGAGGAAATACATATAATATCGTAAGCAGCAGGTATCGTACATAGCAGACCATATTCAAACGCAAAGGATAAAAGGGTCGGGAATTCGGGAATTTACGGACATAAAAATGCCACGAGGGCATCGTGCCATAAAAGTTTTATCTGAATCTTTTGCCCCGGACGACGGATCTGGATTAGTAGATCTCTGGATCTCAACCGCGAAACCAGATCGGGACGCAAGTAATCGAATTGGGCTGAGTGCCGACTTTTGAACCGATGGAACGCGGGCTTGTGAGAAAGATAAGGCCGTCCTCTCCCTTCCTCCGCCCTACCTCCCTACGGGCTAAGAGGAGGGAAGTATCCATGTAGTGCTGAAGAAGTTCGAGGGCAGGCTTGCTTGCTACCTGTGTAGGTGCTTATTGCATACTTAGCTTCATGCTCGCTTCGCGCCATGGGAATATCTACCTACATAGTAGACCTACCCAAGCTTACTCACCTACCTCCTACCTAGGTACCTAACCTCTAACCTGTGATTTTTTTTCTCTCCCCGACTTGGCTTTTGGATCCCCCCACGGACACCCTGGGCGTCAAGCTCGCACCAAGAAACGACTTCTCAATTCCAAAAACAAGCACTTCCGGAAGTCCCGAGCCGTCCGCCGCTTTCCCTCCCTCTACCTGCCTAGCAGCGACGACTCCGCTCGGGATGGATATATCTACATATCCCGCTGCGCTGTCTTCCACGCTATCCAGGCGGATTGCCAGGTTGCCGTGCCAATACATGCCGGATCGAGGTAGGTACACACGTAGCAGGCCAAGACAGGATTGGGGTCAGTCTTTAGCTTGTGGTTAGGCCGGTCACTAAGGTATCCGGGCAAGCCTGGGTTATGCATTGCGTAGGTAGTATGTAGTATACGTATGTATGTATGTATGTATGTAAGGTGCGGTGCGGCAAATAAATACCTAACCTACCTACACTACGTTACTATGTAGGTATGTAAACTTGACCTAGCCCGGTGTCGCGATTTTCGTGCCTATCGCGGTATTAGCTGCCGATCATTTGCACTTTTCGGGACTGCGATCCCAACTTGGCGGGCAGGCCAGGGCCGGGGGTGGGTGGTGGTAGGGGTCATGGGGGAGGCGGCCGCACGCACGCGCCGGACCTACTTTTTTTTTTTCTCTCACTAGCGTAGAAGGGGAGGAGGAAGAAGAGAAGAAGAAGCGGCGAAAGCTGAGCTGTTCCCACGCCACAATCTGGCTAGTTCGTGCGAACTGGAGGTGAAATGGGGGAGCCAGGGAAGGAGAAGGGAGGGAAATATTTAGGTTGATGAGTAATAAAAAAAAAAAAAAAAAAAAGCAAGTCTATCCTGCTGTCTTGAGACGGATACTCCCGATACCTATTGGATTATTCGATTGGGGTGGGTAGGGGATGCAAGAAGAATTTTCCTAGAGATCGGTCCTCGTATAATTTTGTAGGCCAGATGTATTGGCAGTCGGAGTATTCCTCGGATCCGTGACGAATGGAATGATATATTACATATCTCTAACAGTCGAGAAAAGAGCAAGCAAATCGGCGTAATAAGCTTAAGTAATTAAGGATACCTAGATCGATCCCAGATGGCGCCCGTGGGTGTCTTGCATCGTGGGTAACACAGAGCCTTAAAAGACCACCGTAAGCAAGCAGCGAGCCCATAAGCGTTAGCAGCCCACGGTCCCAGCCGGACGTTTCCCAAAGGTCCACGTTCCTGGGTCGCCGGCGGTTCTGGACCGCGACTCTAATCTGAGCTTAGTCTTTTTTTTGAATCTTTGAAATCGTACGGGCGTTCCTCTCGTTTCGGCCGTCCCTGTCCGAATTAGGATAACAGGACGGGACGGGACGCGGCTGATGCTGGCTCGGAAATACCGAGGAATGTCTTTGACGGAAACGCGCTGGATTTCAGCATGGCTGAAAGGGATGGATAAGGGGGAAGTAGTATACGAGCGAAGGTGCGGATAGAGTGGCCCTGCTGTAGGTGTCGACGATCATTAAGGGCATGGGCAATCATACCGGCTTTCCTCTCGCCTTACCGTTATTCTTATCCGACAGCAAGGTCTCTTTTTTCTGACCCTAGGCCCCATGTGAAGTCTAGGTACCTACATCAACATAATAACGGTGTGAGGATTTGATGCGTGGCTAAATATGTCAATAGCACACATATTGTACATGAGTCTCGTTGATATATCTTATCTACCTACCTATGTAGGTATCTACATACACCGGGATCAATTAGACCGAAGCTGGTCATGTGGGATAAGTTGTCGCTTGTATTACCTTGCGAATGGTATGCCTCTTCTATATACGAGTCTTACGACCTGTATACTGAAAAAGCGAAGTAGAAAAAGACGAGCTGAGTGAAGAGAAGGATAAGAAAAGGATTGTGGGAACAAATATTGAGACTAACTGTTACGCTGTGTGTCCCATCTTGGTATAGCCTCGCCCCCATGGAGGATTGGGATTAAGACTGAGCATGAGTCGTGCTGCTCGTGACTCGCGGCACACAGGAGGCAACATTGTTCAAAGAGGCGTCGCTTTTATAGAATTCGTGTATCTGTATTTAGGTACTGAGCATTCTGAACACCCTTCAGCTTATTGCAGTAGATACCGGAAAGACCACCAATTCCAAATTCTTGCATACGATATATCATGGGTACTAAGCTGAACTTGAAGAGTGGTTCGTTAGATCTGATAGCATCCGCATCAGAACAGCTCAACTGGGCCCAGTCGTCATAGTCTCTTATTCCTAGCACTAACCGGTATATAAGTACCATACATATAACACACGACAGCCAATGACCTATCGACTAACTAGAGGATCTACTCTGTAGGCGTATAATACTATGCAGTGATAGGACTCCGGTAGCCGTATCTTCTCCTCGAGATCACGGACCACCCTTAACAGCACATGTGCTTTTGCTCACAACGATTGGTATCCCGCTGACCCGCTCGCGTCTATTCGACGGATTTTCCCCGCAGCCCGCGCAGCACGGCCGCCCTCCATATGTACGACGTATGCAGCATTGCACAATAACCTAGTCTGTACAATACGACAAGGTCCTTTCTTTCTGAGGGAATAAGGGTCCTTGCTACATGTGCGCCGTGATATGTGTTGCAGGAAACTGTGAGCTCTTAGATTAATTAGCAATGTGTGAAGACAAGAACGAATAAAAGAAAATGAACGAAGTAAAAAAAGGGGGGACGGGAACGAGAAAGAGACACACTTAGCCTATAAGAGGAAGTAGTACGAGGGTACCGTGAAAACGTTGCAGGGGTCCACACACTCCGTCAATAGTAGATGATGAATGACTTACCAGGTTGGATAGAGGATGACCCTATGCCGTCACGCTTCCTGGAAATTTTCCGGTAGAGGAGTTTTAGAGCGCACTGGGTAGGGAAAAAACGAGAGGAGCTTCAAGTAGGTACCTACTTACCTTTGGCCACCCTGAGCTGCCGCTCTGTTCCTCTCTCATACCCTCTGCCTCTACTACTGCTTCTGCTTCGTGTGGGATGCGGTTATGGGGAGGTATGGATGTATCCATTCGATGAATGTGGTATGTGCGTTCTCTCTTCTCTCTCCTCCCTGTCCTCTGCTGCTCTCTCAGCACTTACAATGAGCCAAGTCCCCCTCCTAACCCACCCTTCCCCATTCCAGGATTTCTGCCCAGGACGCCCCCATATTATGTATGAATTGAAGCGTTCTCTCTCTTTTTATTACTGTAACCTCGCAAAGCTAGCCTAGCCAGCCAGCCCCAGAAAAACGAGGTGCACCCGAATACCGCCCACCCACCCTGTCCCGTCCATTCAATTCATTTTCAAAAGCCTTTAAACATTTCCCTGTTCGGGTGAGCTCGTCATGTTTTTTTTGGTATTCATATCGAGCACTGGAACCCATTCCCGCCAATTGAGTGACACAACCTAAATCTTTAGGCGGACACCGCCTTCAGTACCTCGAATAGTACCCTGCGAATATATCAGACGAAAGCCATAGCTTGCTTGCTTGCCTGTCCTGCTCGCATTGTCCTTGGCAATCGTCTACCGTCGGAATCTCAACGCCCGTAGAAAAGGCAACTAGGAGTAGTCGGCTATTGTTATTCTTTCCATTGCGTATCTGTACCGCGCCTTGGGGCTACAGATATAACGAAGAGCGTATACCACGCATACTATCAAATCCTTCGAGCGCGCTTGACGCAATCCTAGAGGGGAAATATTAGAAGAGTCCCCGAATCACGAACCACGAACACGAAGTACGTAAAGCGTCAAGCAACCGTCGCTCGAGATCCAGTTGCACGAACTTCAACGTCGCTTCGTCGCTGTGCCACCGTCCGAGCTCTCCCTTGCGGTCAATCGAGACGGCCGGTTTTACGCGCGCGTGCCGAGATATATATACTTGACAGTTGAAATAACATAAACACCGGGCTATTAGCCCGATCGCCTATCATGCCTCCGGAAGGTGACATAGCGTCCATGGCGCAGGGCGCGGGAAACAACTCGAGCGACTTTGTAAGTTTGGTGATGATAATCTCGTATTTTGAGACCGCGTTATCGCGGTTCGTCGCATACGGAATTCGCTAACCCGCTCGATCTTAGGTTCGCAAATTATACAAGTAACTCACTCCTCTCTTCGATAGCTATCTGAATAGCTATTCCACTCGTTTATGCTAACGAAGCTTGCCTTCATAGGATGCTAGAAGACCCTGCCTACAGTGAGGTGGTGAGGTGGGGCAATGAAGGTGACAGCTTTGTTGTTCTCGAGGTAAAACTTGCGAGCTTGAGCTCCTCGTAGGTCTCGGATAGATACTGATCCCCGTTTTACAGAATGAGAAATTTACCAAGACTATACTGCCGAAACATTTCAAGCATAGCAATTTTGCTAGCTTCGTTCGACAACTTAATAAATACGATTTTCACAAAGTGCGGCATAACGAAGAGAATGGGCAATCCCCATATGGCGCATCTGTAATACTTGCCTTCCCTGATGAAAGCATCATGAATTCGCAGTAGAATCTGACCATGTACAACAGGCATGGGAATTCAAGCATCCCGAGTTTCGCGCCGATCGAAAAGATAATCTTGATAACATCCGACGAAAGGCACCAGCGCCTAGGAAGGTTCAGGCCACAGAGGAACAATACGGGGTTTCTAACCAACAAGTTCTTGTTCTCAGCGAGACGCTAGCCGCGACGCAGCAGCAGGTTCAACAGCTCCAGGAATCATATCACGAAATTGTGAACGCGAATAAGATCTTCGTAGATGAAATACTTCACCTCCAGAAGCTAGTTCGCTCGCAAAACCAGGTACACAACGAACTAATCAACCATTTGAATAAAGTTGAGCAGGAAAGGAAAGAAAGTAGCCGAAGCTCAGGCCACGCAACATCCGGGTATGGATCAAACACAGCAAACCTTTTGTCGGACGGCTCCGAGTCGCCTCTCGAGTTACGTCGTGCTCGTGATATTCTCAACGGCCTTCAGGTAGATCATGTCGCTGACCGAGATCTAAACCGGATGTCGGTTCAGCTACACCAAGCCGGCGGCTCCCCTGAATCCGCTGGTTCTTCCGGGATGATGGGACCGCCAGGTGTAGGTGGCGCCAATCCCTTCTTACATGATCCTCTGAATGATATGCGACACCTTGTCTATCCTGTTGGTCAGACGATAGGCATCGATCCCTTCGCCGCCGAACACATCAATAACCTTCCATACAACCGACCTGTGCAGGACAACGCGATGGGCCCTAGCCCTGAATTTAATGGACCGCCGATGCATTCTCAAACTCCGCCGGGAGGTCCGTCGCAAAGTGGTTCTCCGTGGGGATCCAAGAAACCCGTCGTCCTTCTCGTGGAAGACGACAGGACGTGTTCTCGAATTGGTTCCAAATTCCTTGCCCAATATGATTGTGGCGTAGAGGTTGCAGTACGTAGTCGTAATTCTCGATTCTTTGCGTGAGGGCACATGTTTGGCTAACAGTATGACATAGCGCGACGGTCTCGAAGCTGTAAACAAGGTCAATGCAAAACAGCATTACTACGACTTGATTTTCATGGATATTGTGATGCCTCAACTTGACGGTGTCTCGGCAACGGCGATGATCCGCGAAGTGCAACCCAACACTCCAATCATCGCAATGACATCCAATATTAATCAGCAGGATCTTGAAATGTACTTCCACTGGGGTAGGTCCTTTTCTTTTTCATCTGCCTCGCATCCGACTCTCGAGATGTTGACATCGTGCCTAGGTATGCGAGATGTGCTTGCCAAACCGTTCACCAAGGAGGGAATGATTGGCAAATTGAGAAAACATCTTGCCAATTTCATGCGGAACCCTCCCCCCGAGAGCATGATGGATTCGATGTACCCGAATGGAGCCCCCGGTCAACCGCCGACGCCAGGTCCGTATTCGAACCAAGGAATTGGCATGGCCCCCCTATCAGCAGCCTCATCCGGTCCGGTAGGAAAGTTCGACACCACCCCGATTCAATCTCCGGCCACGAGTGCTTCGTGGCATTCTCCTAGTCAAATGCCCCACGCTTCGCCAACGTTGGCACAGGATCAGGGATACTTAAACGCGGGCAGCGGCTCCCAGATGGTGCTCACGCCGGGTGGGACTCAGAAGCCCCAATACGCCAACGCCATGATGCCGCAAATGGGCATGCCCCCGCAGCAAAGAATGCCCGAGGGTATACAACGCTCAGACGGGCCGCCCGAGAAACGACAACGGCTATATGCGCCACAGGGGAATTACAACCCATGAATAACATCGCATTTCTGCCAATTTCCCACTAATACCTTGATCCCGACTTGTATATATTCTCATGTTTAGTTGCTCGTCCACGAGGTCCGCCGGAATTCGGTAATCGATACGTTAAAAGGACATGGTATTGTTGACTTTGGTACCGTAGCAAATCTCGTGCATGGGGGTTACCTGACTGGTCTGCTGTGTCGAAGTTATTGTGGCACTCGGAGCGGAAGAGAGCTCTGTGTTAGATCATGGAATACCCCTTGAATATTTTCTAGAGCAATAACTGCATGTATATCAGTAGCAAGGAGCCAGCAGCTCCTGGGTTGGATGGATGAAGTACGAGGGAAGGGCTTGGATGTCGAGCCTAGATTGCATACAATGGTCGTCCTGAGGGGGCTTGAAGAGCAAGCGCCTAGGACCATTCTTGTATGGAAGGCTTGAGAAAGCCAATCATGTTATGTTTACTGTTGTCTCAGATGCAGTTGATCTCTTGGATTTAAAAGCATCGGATAGTAACGTATGCCCGGGTAGATGTGTGACTAGATGACAAACGAATACGATCGAGGATTTCCATCTTGAATGAAGAGATTAGATGAACGATAAAGGAGGAAATGATGAACGATTGAATGCTCTTTTGCCCACGAGTATACGTTGTGGGAGAGTTGAGGGTTCGGAAAAGAGAATTTGCTGGAGTGTCAAGGTTTTGTGGTTTGTGGCTTGCCGCTGTGAGAAGGAAACTTCAACCCAGCGCAAACAGAGTGTACATTAAATTGAGAATACACGTGCCCACCTTAAATGCCTTTACCCCCAGCGTGGACCGCTAGTTCTTCCTCTCTTTCCCATCTTATTTCGATTTCGCGTTTGTATTGGTACCGGTGGACTGGTAACGGTGTCATGTGGACCTATGCTGTAAAGTGGCTTCCATATTTGGCAATAGAGAACAGTGAATAGCATAGGAACGACTTGATTAGGCGAGGAAAGAATGAAGGCGAGAAGGAAACTGAGGTTTCCTCGGCAGGCATTTATGCCATTGAAAGTACCTATAGAAATATGTAGGTATCTTCCATATTCAGGTGGAGAGGTACATGTAGGTATAGTATATAGTACAGCAAGGAAAGAGCAAACAAAAAGCTCCAAGGTTCAAATGTTGTTGGGAAAGTTTAATCTTAAGGGAAAGACACAAACTCGAAAGATTAAATAACAGCCGGACTTCCGCTGCTGGATTTTAGCTATCATAAGCATCTGGACACGCGAGCAAACTCCTGAACATCGTTTAAAAGTCGTGTTTTAAGCATACCTGGGCACATATTTTATGTGCCGTGTACATTTGACATCGAACAACAAGTGTGACGAAATAATAAGAATCCGTCGACTGAGCCGCAATCGTTAGTAGATATGTTATAATGGCAAATTATTGGCTAAGCCTAGAATGCGATCGAAGATCGAAACCCCATCAATAACGATGGGAAATCAATACACCCCGGGCACAAAAGAGTGCCCGTCCCAGTATTTCTGCAGGTGGTAACAGGATCTGCTGATCTAGACACCGATCTTACGGAACGGGACTCCTGTGGACTAATGAGAAGGCCTTGCCAACCCTCTTTGCCAGGCTCTAGCCTCCCGGGAAGCGTGGGATATTCCCCCTGGAAACACAAACCTCGGCACAGATCGACTTCCCCTGACCCTTGCCCTTTTCTAGTAGTACGTATATCATGATCATATGATTCGCATATCTACGTAGGTAGATCTTCTTAGAACGCCAACAACTCTTGACTGGTGATGGAACAATAAAGGATCGATGTTTTATAAGTTGAGTTAGCTCACATCGACCTTTGAACAGATGACCCACGCGGCACCCCAACTTGTTTAAGGCATTGGGCAGCTGATTTCGTGGCTTGAAGATTGGTACGTAGACGTCTCTCTGTTTACTTATTGCCGGTTCCAGACTTGAAAATACAGCAAACGCTTCAGTATCAAATAAGAAAGACGGATACAAGATAACGCCGATGAGGATATGAACCAATCCAAACACCGGTTCATGGTTAGATCCGTCTGGATAGAGACCGGGGAAGCGTGACTAGCAGCAGCAGCGGCAGTACCCTATGCACATCCATATGTCCGTTCCTACATAATGTACATACATATGTATGGATATGCAAGCCGCGTAAGGTAACGGTTAGGGTTGCGTCTGCAGCTAGCCAGGGGCTCGCTCACGAGGTTTAGTTTGAGGATTAGATTCTAGAACTGTAGAGCTCTAGCCTAGACCGCAGTCTGTTCCACGGCAGTCGTTCGACCCTTGGCCCACCCTTGCCGTTACGCCCCTGCGTCGCCCGGTCTAGATCATATTCGATCCAGACTTACTACGTTCCCGACCTGCTGGTTAGCTCCACGTGTGTACGTATCAGATTACTTGGTTGATATGAGGTCCCCGCATTACGCGGACATAGCTAATGGCCCCCGAATTTATTCAACCGAGGTTTAACCGAAGCCCCTATCGTTCGAATTCTCGACCGATAGGGGCTTCACTTTAGCTCACGGGTGGCTCCAGACGCTTGCTCGTTCGTTGATTATTTGATATTAACATAGCAGCTTTACATTTTGTATTGTCGAAGAAGATTTAAAGCTTGGATCTCCGCACTGAGATCTTAAATACCAGCACAGTGTTTGTCGCACTTTCCTATCAAGTAGACTCCATCTAACACCTGTTGCCTGCCTCATATAATCGCTACAGCTCCTTTTATGGTACCTAATCACGACTAGTAAGTGAAGAGCTGTGTTTCAACAAGATCTATTATTATTTCGCACCTATCTTATATTTGCCGCTCGACACGGACGACCTAGACACCAATATGTTAGTTGAGGACTGATCATGCATAGCAAGGCCTACCATTTTGATCAAGCTCCCAGAGATCCTGCCTCTTATTCCCCTGACCCCGTGATTGGCGCGTCTGTCTCATGGCGCGGCGTTTCATATAGCGGGTAATTCGAGAAGGGATCGATTGTTGGAGATGGTCTCGTGCCCGGTGACGATGTTGATGGTGAAGTGGTGAGGCAGCGGGGTTTGAGACTATACGGTGCTGTTCTTCACATAGTTGAAGTTCGGAACGTTGGGTAGTGGAGTTTGGTGGTGCTTGTGAGGAAGGATCCTCGTTTGTTATAGGATGTGGCTGTTCCCCCAGTACCGAACAGGAACGGGAATGTATCCAGTCATCGCGGTATACTCTGTTGATCCATCCCGGCCTCTAAGTCCAATATAGGTCTTCGGAAAATTATGAACTCGTAACCGAATCATCGTGGACAGTCGGGGAACGGTCTTCTATTCCCTGGATTATATCTTGGTTTACCCTACCAGAGATATTGTGTTCGTTACTAAATTAGAGTAAGGAAATTTGCCTTAAATCTTGAGAAGATGTATTCTGGGACTCGAATATATTGGATATATCGATATTAATCCCTTCGGGGTTGGCAGGAGAGATCGATGGCAACAGAGATCGTGAACAATTTGACACATGACGAAGCATGCGATTGCGTCTCCTTAATTGTCTTCTTGAATGCATATATTCAAGCCTCTGGTGAAGTCCTTCTTTAAGAACATGGATAAGCTCTTGAGCTTCTAGACGTTCATCTGTTAAACGTATATTAATCCTGATGAATATGTTTCAATATCGATATGGTAAAGGGATAACGTATGAAGATCGTTGAAGCTCAAATGATTGTGGGTGACAAGACGTTGTACCTATTACATAGGAGTTGAATCTTTTGATTTGATCAGTGATCCAGATTCCAAACGGTTCATTACGTAATTATCTCTATAAACTTATAATGATATTTCTTTAATGAGTAAAGGTAAGAAATAGCGGGGTAATATCGTTATAACGCAACTCCAAAAACTGCCCCTCCAAATAACTTTAACTTGTCCATCACCAAAACATCATCTCATCTTCAATTACACATTCACGTTCATGCGCAACATATAACGAACGACAGACATCATTCAGTCGAAATGTCGCAGAATAAAGGTGTCAAAAGTGGCGCCTCTTCAAAAGGAAAGAAATCTGGAAAGCCAGGAACGGAAGACAAGAGAGAAGATGTTCTTCAAGCAGTGGTATGTATTTCTCTATTTCCGAACTATCGTGGGGCAGTAGTGACAGCTATAGCTAACATGATCCTCAGCTTATAGCAGATTCCTTCCAGACTAGATTCCACCCTTTCTCAGTAGAGAAACCAAGAGTAATTCAATGGGAAAGCTTTCTTGGGCTACAATCATGATTGCTGATTTCATTGTAGTGCCTCCTCCCCCTTGCGAACACACCTCTCATCGAATACTCCCTCGAATTCCTCGCCATGAACGGTGTTCAGGAGGTCTTCATATATTGTGGCAACCACCACGAGCAGATCGAGAGATATGTCAATTCTTCCAGATGGTGTCCTGGCTTAAGATCATGCCCGTTTACGACTCTCGAATTCATACGTGTTGCCGATGCTAGATCCATAGGCGATTTCCTTCGAGATTTGGACAAGCGCAATATCATCGGAGGCGACTTCGTATTGGTACATGGCGATTTGGTTGCTAATATCTCCCTTGAGGGGGCTTTGGCAGCGCACAGAGTTCGTCGAGAAGCGAACCGAGACTCATGTATGACCATGGTCCTCCGAGAAGGTGGTGAAGGACAGCACAACACTAAGACGAAAGGGATAACACCGGCCTTCATCATCGATCCGAAAGCTAAAAGATGTCTACACTACGAGGAAATACACCCATTGCAAGCCGATCATTATGTTACACTTGACCCAACCATACTCGAGAACCGCGAAGCCGAAGCTCGGACCGATTTAATCGACGCTGAAATTGATATATGTACACCCGATGTTCTCGCCTTATGGTCCGAGAGCTTTGACTACGAGCTCCCACGCGCAAATTTCTTGCATGGCGTGCTGAAGGACTGGGAGTTGAACGGGAAAATGATTCACACCGAAATCGTCAACGAGGGTTATAGCGCACGCGTTAGGAATCTCCAGATGTACGACGCTATCAGCCAGGACGTGCTGAATGGCTGGACATATCCCTTCGTACCCGAGTGCAATCTCTTACCAGGACAGACCTATCAACTACGGGGTATTAGTGTGTACAGGGAGGACGATGTCGAGGTTGAAGAGAACAGCGAAGTTACCTATGCGATTCTCGGAAAAGACACCCACGTCGGATCAGGTAGCACAATAAGAAATAGTGTCATTGGCCGAAATTGCAAAATCGGTAGCAATGTGCGGATCGTTAACAGCTTCATATGGGATGACGCTATAATTAACGACAGCGCTGTGGTGGAGCATGCGATTATCGCGGAGAAGACAGTTGTGGGCAAAGAAGCCTACGTTCATGAGGGTGCCCTTGTATCGTTCGGGGTTCACTTGGGCGATCTGACGGACGTCGAACCTGGTAGGATGTTATCTCTTTTCACAGGATACGGAAAACCCGCATCATCGCAGCCCCAGATTGTTGGCGCTGAAGGCAAGGGCACGCTCTTTCAGAGTCCCGAAGATGACGAGGAGGATCCTGATGACCCGTCAAACCTGCAAAAGTCACTTATATACTCGCTTGAGGATCTTGATTTCTCAGACTCATCCGTCTCAACGCTTGGAGATGATGATGACTCGTCTGACGACGAATCGGGACGAGCATCGGCAACCCTTAGCCAGCCCACGTCGAGATCACGACTTTCTTCGTTTGCCTCAGACGATTCAGGTGGTCCCAACTTCTATTCTTTCCATTCCGACGCGGTTCATGGTTTGTTAGATGTTCTCCGTGGGACTTCGGGTAACTTCGAATCCGAGAAGCTCGAGTTTACGTCGTTACGACTGGCTAATAACGCATCCGATGCTGCGATGAGGAAAGCTGTCGCGACCGCCTTCGTCCGACGCGCCGTCGAACTAACGAACGCAGAGAACGGTGCATTGGAACCCCCGAAGGCCGCTAAGCAGGTACTCACATCACGTGAAGGTGCGACAGATTTCGTATCGGATGTTGGTGTTAGTGACCATTCCGTGGCAGAACAGGTGGAGTTTGCGCTAGCAGTACAGAAGGCGTGCGCCAGCAGCGCGAAGATAATTGAAGTCGCTAAGGCCGGAAACCTTCTAGCTGCTATGCTGCAGCAAATGTACGACCTCGATATCTTGGAGGAAGACGGAATCTTGGGTTGGTGGGAGGATGACAGGAGTAAAGAGGAGGGTCTAATAGCAGGTGTGCGGGAGAAGTGCCAGGCGCTCGTTGAGTGGCTAGAAAACGCCGATGAAGAAAGCGAGGAGGAAGACGATGACGATGAGTGATTTTGCGGCGTACGAGAATACACGAAACAAATCTGACTAGCGTATTTCCACTCGAAAGGGCATAAGGTGTCTTCTAAGACTTCGATTCGGCGTTCTCGCCTGGGAAATAAGCTCCAGTTCGGGACTGAAATGACTACGGATTCTCTAGAGATATAGGCTGTATGTGGTGGCAGCCTCTACAGAATAGGAAAGGTCTATAGCAGGTCCTTAGTAATGGGATAGAAGTCAAATCTGATTGTTGGCTTGAATTAAAAAGAGGTGCAATACCTACCTATTTATCTTGCGGAGGTTTGTCCCTTCTAGTTGCGCTTACGAATAGGGGTGATGGTAAGACGGCAGATATAGAATCACTACCTGTATAATGCTAGCAACCAGTACCTGGGTATTCCATTCACTTGATTGTGTCCCGAGCCAGGTAGTATAACACAATTAATATTGACGTCCATCATATCATCGGAAAATGATTCTCAATGCTTCATTAGACACATACCGATCTTTATAATTGCATAAATGAATTGATTACGTCATGATGGTTTTAATGTTATCGATAACATCTAGCTGCCTAGTGAACGCGTCGCGTCGCGTCGGTTTTCAATTAAAGTCAATTAAGATATAGCCCCTCTATAGTTGTACCCATTCACACCATACAATACTAACCTATGCTCTATGGTTCCCTGGGACTTCGTTTGAAAGATCAGCAGATACGTTGAGTTTGGACCATAGAGGACGTTTTAGAGATCACTTCGTTCATAATGCCTCACTCCAAATCGCCCGAGGCCGACTCTCAAACCCCTGTTGCCGAAGAGACCATGACGGACATTCCAGCTCAGAACGGCGACGACCAGGCAGCCGATAACGATATCGCCATGGCTGAGACAGATACTTTACAGATCAAAATAGAAGAAAATGACAAGAAGGACGCAAAATTAGAAGACTTATTCGCGGATGTTGACTCGGATGATGAGTTCCCCAGTTCGCGGCCAGGCGTAGACAAGTCGTCGGCTCCAGCATCGCCCTTGTGAGATTACGGAATTATCATGCCTAGCCAGAAGAGTTCTCTAACAAATGTTCTAGTGATGGGCCGGTAGCCGTGAAAGCATCGGATCCCGAGATCCTGCGCCTGTTCTACCAGCGATTCTTCCCCTGGCGGTACCTCTTCCAGTGGCTCAACCACAGCCCGACACCTACCAACGACTTCGCGCACCGCGAGTTCGCCTTTACGCTACAGAGCGATATTTACCTGCGATATCAAGCCTTCCCCAGCTCCGACTTGTGAGTATCTGTCTGTTCATGGTTTTGATGCTACGTAATTATGAAATGGGCTTGTGGCTTGTGGCTTACCATGCCCGGTTTCTAGACTCCGCAAAGACGTGCTCCGCCAACTGCCGACCCGTTTCGAGATCGGCCCCGTGTACACGACGAACCCGCGCGACCGCAAGACGCTGCGGAACTCGAGCGCGTTCAAGCCGCTGGCGAAGGAGCTGTGCTTCGATATCGATTTGACGGACTACGACGACATCCGCACGTGCTGCGACAAGGCGAATATCTGCAACCGCTGCTGGCAGTTCATGACTATGGCTATCAAGGTCATAGACGTCGCGCTGCGGGAGGATTTCGGGTTCAAGCATATCATGTGGGTGTACTCCGGCCGAAGAGGAGCCCACGCCTGGGTCTGCGATAAGAAGGCCCGCACGATGGACGATCAGAAGCGCAGGGCCATTGCCGGGTACCTCGAGGTGATCCGAGGTGGTGCGCAGAGCGGCAAGAAGGTTAATCTTTGGAGGCCTTTGCACCCTCATATAAGGTACATCCGATCTTGCCCTTTTAGAAAGCTCCGACCATGCTAACGCCCACCCTAAAGCCGGAGTCTAGAGATCCTAGCCCCACACTTCCAATCCGACGTCCTCGAATCGCAGGATCCGTGGGCGTCCCCGGAGCGCGCGGAGCACCTGCTCTCGCTCCTCCCGGACAAAGCTCTTAACGAGGGCCTGCGCAAGAAGTGGGATGCGGCGCCAGGCCGCGCCAGCACGTCCAAGTGGGCCGACATCGACGCGCTGGCCAAGTCGGGCGCGAGCAAGAAACTGGACGCGCAGGCGCTGCTCGAGGCTAAGCAGGACGTCGTGCTCGAGTACACGTACCCGCGCCTCGATATCGAGGTCAGCAAGAGGCTGAACCATTTGCTGAAGAGCCCGTTCGTCGTGCACCCCGGCACCGGCAGGGTGTGCGTGCCGATTGATACGCGGAAGTTGGAGGAGTTTGACCCGTTGGGCGTGCCGACGGTGCAGGAGCTGCTGCAGGAAATTGACGAGTGGAAGGAAGATAGTGGCGAGGAAGGTAAGGAGGACGGGGGAAAGGGGAAGAAGCCGTTGCAGGATTGGGAGAAGACGAGCTTGAGGCCGTATGTGGAGTACTTCAGGAGTTTCGTCCTGGCGCTTATGAAGGATGAGGCGGATCCGAAGGTTAAGCGTGAGAGGGAGGAGGGGATGGAATTCTGAGATGCTTATACATATACATCCATGTATATCTTTTAATCAGGTACACTTAGTACTATGGCATAGGCTCGGAGTTTTGGGTATGGGTTCACGAAATTGAAGTCTGAATGGGTATTTAATGAATGGTAGCGGATCACCACTTTAATCCTTCTATCGTGGGTTGCGTTCGTTATGACGACTCTTGACTGAGCAGCTTCTGTCTAACCATGGCTACTATGTCTTCACTGCCTTCCATGTCCTTTCCGCGCCGGAAGCAGGCGCTGGCGATGCTGATGGTCTTGTCCCTGTTCTTCATCCCGTGCGTAATTTGTAAGTCTGATTTTGGGACGCCTAGGATCTGGGATTGTGTCACTATTTACTGTCCTATCTCGTATGATTTCTATGCCGTGAACGACTCTATCTAGATACGTAGAGTTTCTATAACTTCTTGAACCAACAGATCTGAATATGCTTACCTCGCTTAGAATCTCAACCACGGCCTTGTTCGCCTTTCCGTCTTGTGGTGGAGCCGCAACACACATTTCGATGCACTCATCCGTAACAGCAGCAACTCCCTCGCGTACTTTGCTTGCGCCTGGCCGGATGTGACATCGTAGCTGTAGGATCTCTGGGGCTGAAGCCTTGGATTTCTGCACGAGAGTTATGGCGTTACGGGCAGCCATATTCTCATTATAATGAGTGAGTGTCTCATATGTGTTGATTCGACGACCTTGGAATCTGTTGTTTAGATGAAATGCTGGTTCGAGATGTCCCACGTAATATCATATGTTTTCTTATATGCATGTAATATGCATGGAAACCGTCCAATTGTAGCTGCAAAGGGAGCTTGGGCCATATTTACCGTCTAATCCCTGCAAGTACATCCGTGAACTAGCAGTAACTTTAGAAAAACAGGTAAAACTTTCTCTAAAAAACAGGTAAATCCATTTTTAGACTAGTTCAAAGCTATGACACTAATCTTACTGGTTGTCTCTAGCTCCACATAGGACCCATTTATAGCTTATTATTTATTGGTTAAAAAACGCAAATCCGAGTTACTTAAGCAGCATTACATAAGTTAAAAATAACATTATATAAGCCAAAAAACAGCCCCGCGCCTAAGTCACTAACCCTTTAATAAAATCTGAATAGGTTTTGTTTGCAAGAGTTTCTAAAAGTAAAGCATATACTGTTATAAAGCCCTCATTCCAGCAAATCTAATGGTGTAATTTTTATCCAATTACATTAGCTCTGCCATGAGTTATCAGTGTTTAAGGTGAGCGAGCAGTACCTTGCAGTAGCACGTGATACCCCTCAACTCCAACGCACCTGCTTACTCAGCCATATGAATTCTTTATGATATCTCAGTCATTATACGTCTAATACAAGTGCAACCTAGATCAATCGATTCCTCTCATTAATCTCTATCTAATAGTATATACTTCATTTTTTAAATAAAAAGTTTTTGTTATTGCAAAACAACTGTGTGCAGTTTGTAAGCTGATTGGTTTAAAGTGGTGTTGCGCTAGTCTAAAAATGGATTTACCTGTTTTTTAGAGAAAGTTTTACCTGTTTTTCTAAAGTTACTGGTGAACTAGTAATTCTTGTGGGGCATCTTGTACTCGAAGTTACGATAAAAATATTATCGATAAGTTCTAGCAACTTGTACATACCTAGATTCCTGGGCTATGATGCTTTAAGGGACTTGGAATTCTCACCAATTGCGACAGGTCGAATACCAAGATACCTCAGAAGGCGCGAGAGCCTTCGTCCCCCAACGTTAACGAACTTCCTCTCAACAAACGTTTCTAATCACGCCTTCTTGACACTTCACTTGCATCCGACATGAAATCGTCGCTATAATTGTATGTTTTCATTGCGAATTCCCACGTTATTGAAAAGCCATTCGTTACGCGGATACCGAAGGATGGTGTCCGATCAAGTCGCCCGCGCCGATCACGGCCACACCATCACAGCTCTTAGCCGATGGTCTATTTTAGATAAGAAGCTTCCGCGTGAGTTTCCACCTGGGCAATATGGTCCTACGATTATTGCATTATTATGTTCTCTACTAACCTGCCACTTAAGCTGTCAACGCGATCAATGCCGTTCACGTCTACGACTTCGATAATACCTGTTAGTATCTACGTTGCTTGCTTGCTTGCTCGCCTCGACCCCCTTTCATAGCTAACAGTGGGCGACTTCGTAGTATTCAAGACTCCTCTCCCGAACCCCAAGTTATGGAACGGTCCGACGGTCGGGCAGCTGATGAGCCCTGATATCTTTGTGAATGGCGGTTGGTGGCATGACTCGAGAATCCTATCTGCAACTGGCGAAGGTGTCGAACAAGAAGAGAAGCGCGCCTGGAATGGATGGTGGAATGAGAAAATCGTTCAGTTGGTCCAACTGAGCATGGAGCAAGATGATGCTCTCACCGTTCTCCTGACTGGACGTTCTGAGAAAGGCTTCTCTCAGCTCATCAAGCGAATTGTCGCGAGCAAAGGTCTCCAGTTCGACATGATTGGGTTGAAGCCGGCGATTGGCCCTAACCGCGAGCGCTTCCAGTCTACTATGGAATTCAAGCAGATCTTCTTGAGAGCAGTACTGGGAACATACGCATCGGCGAAAGAGATGCGAATTTACGAAGACCGCCCGAAACACGTCGGGGGGTTTCGGGATTTCTTTGCTGATTACAACAAGCATCTCATCAATCGCGGACTGAACCCGATTACTGGCCACGTCGTACCAGTGGCTGAGCTCTCTACTACCCTCGATCCCGTCGTTGAGGTGGCAGAAGTGCAACACCTTATCAACGCCCACAACATCGCTGTTGCAAAAGAACGAAAAGGCGGACGGAGTGGGCGCCTAGCTATCAAGAAAGCCGTCTTGTTCACCAGCTACATGATCCAGCCTTCTGATACGAAGCGACTAATCTCGCTTCTTAACACGTTGGCACCGGAGACGAAGGACCTTAAACCCCTTGCTAACACTATCCTCATCACAGCACGATCCTGCCCACAGCACATTTTAGATAAGATAGGAGGCCTCAATTCTAAGATGAAGTGGGAGGTAACCGACATTGGCTCCTATCAGTCAAACCTCTGGGCGGTGCGTGTAAGGCCCGTTCCTGCTAATGCCATCTACCACTCCGACAACCGGACACCGGCCGTCGTCATGGGCGCGAAAGGAGGAACTCGTCCCGCTGATGTAAATAAGATCCATCAATGGCAACCAGTCCCAGCTGATCAAAACTTCGTTTTCGAGACTACGGTGGGTGAAAAGGTCATGCTCCGTATCGATCGCGAAGATCAAGATGGCGAGGACGACCAGCACGACAGGCTGTTCCCGCATAGAGGCTCCAAGCGCAAGTTTCCCAGCGATGATGATCGCCAATCTCGTCACCACGGCAGGGATCGTGGTAACGGTGCCCGAGATTACTACAACTCATCTCAATCGCGAGGTGGAGGTGACAATCGGGGTCGCGGTGGCCACAGAGGTGGCGGTGCTCCTCGGGGTAACCGTGGCGGCAGAGGAGGCTACAAGAATTCTGGTAGAAGCGGCAAGGGAGCCCATGGCTATCGCTCTTTGGACGACGTTGACACTCGCGAAAGCTCTCAGAATGGATATGGTGCAGCAGCTGTTTCGTATGACGACAACACCTTTCCAGCATTACCTCAGGGCGGCCCTCAGTTCCACCAGCATTTGCCTCCCCCTCCGCCGTACGGCCAGCCGTTCCCAATCCCGGGTCAATGGCCTGGGATGGGTGGTAATGGTCAGGGACGGCCCTCGGGTGGCCCTGGTCCGGATTTGCAAAACTTCTACTGAGACTATGATGATGTCACAGCAGTATGTTTGAGCTAGCTTACAGGTTCGGTTTCAGGAAACCAGCAGGGCTAGATCATTCCGAACTGGACTATGAGACCTTTCTACGGAGGAACCATTGGGTTACAAGTCTGGCACTGGATCATTCTAGGTGTCCTGTTGGACGGCGACCCGGAGTTTGTACTAGGGAGGAAACACGGGATTATAAGGGCAGGCTTTTTTCTCTTTTACGGACTACCTTGTGTATACGTTTAGATTTTGCATCCCCTTCAGGGACTCATCTAGTTGGTTTTCGCAAGGGTAATTGGGGGTCAGCTAGGTTAGGCGTTAGATTAGGCAGAAGATTCCCAAAAAGCCGGTACCTGGACTGAACAAATAGGCCGGCATTTCTATATGGTATGGATTGCAAACGAACTACTACTTTCCTTTGGCATGAACATCGCAGCACATGGATTGACGTGATCTGAAACATACGTGTTAGCCTAAGCTCCACAGACAAAGATACGAATATGTGCATGTTTGAGTTCCGGACGGTAATCAGAATAAGATAGAACAATGTGGTGAGTTGGATGAATCATGCTCGTGAGACACGAGTCATAAACAGCCTCTAAAAATTTCATCATAGTAGATAGGCAGGTAGGGTATGAAAGAAAGGGAATCGTCAACTTACCACAAGGTCAAGCTCCGCCTCCTTGACGAGAGCTCATCGCCGTCTATTGGCTATTAGAAGCAGGAGGCAGATATATGAACTTCAAGAGCTCCGATTCTTCTTTATGTACAAGGTGGTACTTCTCGTAGGTGTCCCCTTACCTACTCCTACCTATCTAGGTACTGTAGATGAGGTTATGTGATCGATCGTTGTCGCCTTGCTGCGACTAGCCGACCAGAACTAGGTGCCCTAAGGCTCGAGCCGGTTAATAGAAGCCATGCTTCCTAGCTCCGCAAAATAATCAAATCCGAATCTGTCATCGCGATTATAGCCCATCGGCGCGCACGGGGTTGATCTCAACACCGTACTTCTCCTTTAATCGCTGTCTTCGGCGCTCCTCATAGTTCTCGGGCTTGATGCCTATATTATTAGGAGTCGCGCGTTAGTCTTTGCAGTCATTGTCATTGTCACCACAGCCACCACAGCAGTGGGACGGCGTGGTGGAGGCAGAGCAGGGTTTACAGGAGGCGGGGCGGGTGGTGGAAGTGACAATGGAAATATTAATACCTCTGCCCTCTCCGATGTTGGCCAAGGTCTCCTCAATAGGCCGTCGCCGAGTCTTGCGCTGAGCCTCCTTATATTCATAGTCGTCCATCTCCGGATTCTCGGTACGGGCTCGGCCGCGCAAACTGCCACCCGTATACTCGAAAGTCGACATGACTGCAGCAAAGGCGGCGCCAAAGCCGAGGATTTGGGGTATTCGGCCAGCTTTTTGGGGGGCGGCATGGTTAGCAACATGGTTATCATGAAAATGATAGGCCTACAGCTAAGGGGAGAGGGGGAAAAGACATACTCCTAAGGCCGATGGTGGCTCCGCCTAGGAAGGAGGCGACGGTTGTGTTAAAAGTGTCGTTCTTCTCTCTTAGGTTGGCGGTTGCGTCCTTGGAGAAGCTATACACGGAGGTGACGGCAGCTGTGAGAATATGTTAGTTCCTTATCAAGCCCGGATAGGCTTGCTCTAGACCCGGTAGAGCACGACATGGCCTCGTTTCCAATTGGGATGGGGAGTAAACGTACTGAACATGGCTATGGTGCCACCACCCCGAGTGAGAACCGCCCAAGCTCCTACGTTAGTCTTGGCTAGAGAGTTCTGAACGGCGGCAACGATGAAACCGGCGGATCCGCCGAGAATCGCGCCTTTTATTCCGGACTTCAGAGCATCGTGCGGGTGGAAGGGTGTCTCCTCCGGTATGGCTTGGATGGGATGTGGGTTCGCCATCTTGGACTCCAGCCCGAAGGAGGCTATTCACAAGTTGGGCTCGAGAGTATATGAGTGGGTTGTTCGGGTGTGGGTTATGTCGAAGGAGGAGATTGATAGCCGGGGTTTTCCTCTAAAGCTTCGAGCTTTGATCTTCGATCAATTACATCGAAGTTGACTGGCTCAATATAGCCGAAGTTTCTCCTATTGGCTGTTACTTTGAGTTTCGAAGAAACCGCGCTAGGCAAAGGAATATCCGATAACCCGCCCTGCCCGCCTACGCAAGCCAACCGCCACACAGGAAGATGTGGCAGTGTTTGGGTACCACTCAAGAGCTGTAAGCGCTGTCGCACGGACCATACAGCTAGCTGCAGCTAGGTACTCCCGGTACCTACCTAGTTGAGCTTACTGATTATCCTAGCTCCATAATCTTTGAGAGGCAACCTTGGATCGGCTTCAAGCATCACATCTTTTTCAAGAAAAAAGATTCATCAAGTCTGCGGAAAACCGTTCACCACAACGCTTACTCCATCGCGCACATATTGTCACTGGAGGCACGTTCACACAGATACCCCTCGCGTCGACTCGCGTTGTTTTTTTCCTTTTGATTTTATCATACGTCACTCCTTTTCCCGCAGTTGGACTTGGACTCCTTCGGGTTTATGTCATTGATCCATATTCATGATACCCGTCTCAGGCAAGCATTTGTGAATCCTCCCCTGTATCCATCGTCGTTCATTTCTACATCTAACATCCCACAGGGAATCGTCTTTACCGTTTTATTTACTCGTAATGAGCATCTAATCACATTCCTTCGTCAAAGGTATGTATTTTCCGCATCTTTTTTCATCCCCCTCCTCTCTCGCACCTTTTATCCCCTTTGCTTGGAGGAGTAGCTATGTGTCGGCTCCCCTTGTTACTTCATATCCCAACCACATATCGCCTAGTTTTTCTCTCTTTTGAAGGTCATGAATGCGTGCCTTTAATCACAGGAAGCTTGGTCTCGGCAATCACGAGCACTTATATTCACTTGCTATTCTATTACATCCATCCAACCTCTCCTCACAATGTCGCCAAGTAGGCTTGGCTTCAGGAGTAATCCTGAGATATCTACTTGGGTGTCTAGAAACATAGGATGATAGAACAGTCAAGGTTGGATGATCGTACCATTCCGTACACATGCTATTCACATATCTACCTTATATCGCCCAACCCTATTTCAACAGTGAAAGAATCTCCTCTCCCGTCCCTTAACTCCCGTCATCTTTTTCCACGGGTTGAAATAATATTCTTTGAGTATCATTACTAGTTATGGGAATCTTCGCTGCATCTATCTCCGTATAAAAGGGAGAAGCAAATTTACATAATATGCCCCCTTCTTCTTGCACCGTATCTATGTCACCTGCTAACATTATTTTAGGGAATTCTACCAGCCCTTATCCTATCTAAGTTTACCCCGTTTTGTTATGGTGAGTACTTTCGAGGCTATCACATTTATTCTTCGTTAATAATTTGCTTAGATTGGGTAAAGCATCCCTCTATTGTCAATAAACCTCTTTTTATGTGGTATAGAGTTTCGAGCAGCTAGGTAAGTGTGCGTGATAATCATATGTATCCTGGAATTCCCGAACCTGCATATCTCTTTTACATAGGTATTGCTCTCCGGAAATCCTCGGTGACTGTCCGGAAAAGAGGCGAAGGATATGCTGACGCCTACTTATTTCTTCCCAGACTCATGCCCACACGGGCTTGATTATTCACGATGGAGCCACTTTACAAGTTGGACGACCTGGCGGAACTTCGCCGACTGCAATGGCAAGCAAGACTTAGTCTACAGCTTGGCCCAGACCCCCACCGTAAGTTTTCATGTGCTATACAGCAATCATCTCTCATTAAACGGAATACTAATGAAAACTCAAAGCTCTTACGTCTCCAATGTTTCTCCGAGACTTTCTGGCATCAAAATTGCCCGTACTTGACGTACACAGTGATTGCGCCAGCCATGAGTTGCTGGAAGTTGGCAGTCAATCGTATTACACCGAACACCAGAACTTTCTCTCATTGACTTGTAACCGTTGTCGGTATCACTTCCACATCACAAACGATTCTCAGCACGTTGAGAGTTGGGGCACGGAGCATCGTCACCACATGCTCGTTTCCTGCGGCGAAAGGTCCACGTATAGGGCTGGAGCCAAAGCTGGAAAGAGCCCTTATGATGACACCACTAGTCATGCCAGATTTATCTGTGTGGCCGGCGACTGCTTATTCAATATCAAGATCGACGTTGTGCCCTGGAGACTTTCTCCGGTAGATGTGGCAAAGCTTTCTGATAAGAACAGGGTTGAGAAGAACCTGAGGCTTGCACTGGCCGAAGATGAGATTCGATATTCAGGACTAAAAAGCGCGACAAATCTTGGGTCCGAAGGCATTCTTCGGACTTACCTCACCGATGCTCTTAAGAAGAACCTTGATGCCCCATTGATGGTCAACAAGCGTAACAAGCGGTTTTTCGTGAGTATGCGGAGCGACTTCGACGCCTTGCTGAGATTCCTAGGCTTCTACGAAGGCATCGACCCTTCAACCGGCGAGGAGTGTTGGTACATTCCTCCACCGGAACAGGAAAAAGAACCAACCCGAGTTCGAACTCTACGAGCTCGTATGGAAGATGCTGTGATGGAGCTTGAAATTTTGTTTGCTGGTGGAAATACAGTTAATGCCTGGGAAAAACTTTTGGCAACATTTCAAGCTGATTATCCCACAGCCAGTACACCTAACCTCGCTTTCATTTCCACAGTTTCGGACGATGATTTGAACCTTCTGGGTTGTTTAGCACACTATCCCCCTGAGTTCTTCAGCTGGGCCGCGATTCTCCTTTCCAAGCGTCGTCCGAGAGATCGTAACGAGTATCTGGATGCCGGTCTGCGTTGCATTGCAAATCACAGCGAGGATGCATCTATTGAAATTATCATGTATAGGTCTCGCTTTGATAATGCGACCCCTATGGAAATAAAGGTGGAAGAGGCTTATGAATTCTTCAATGCTTCCCCTGATAGTGGCATGACGTCGGACTGGTTCTTGGCCAGATACTACGAAATGGCTAAGTCATATGCGCCCGATGAGTTCAAGGCCCAAGCTCTGCAGCAACTCGAAGCGATTGGCAATCACCTCGGACGGGATATCGTGAGCGAACTTGATCCAAAGATTTTGGGGCATGCAGAAATACCAGGACTCGCCTTATCTGGTTCAAGCGGAACGATGTCTCTTTCTGCAGCGGCAAATTTCTTAGAGGTTGAACCGAGCTACACCGCAGAGATAATCCGCGACTTTGTCGAGCGGCTGATTCGTGTAAGTCATCCTCATCTCACTGCAACTTGCTTTGATGTATCTAATTACTATAATAGAAGGATAATATCGACCGAGGCAGAGTTATCGAGGCTCTCAACGTTCTATCCGATCACAAGCGAAAGTTAGAGAACCCGGAAGAGGCGAACGAATTGCAGAAGATTGCCGAATTTGTGAAGGAGACCGACTTTATGCCAATGCTCATCCCTCAACCGCACTCGGCACCGATATTGTTGACCCTCCCTGTTACGCCACCTGGGCTTAAGAATATCGGTAACACGTGCTACCTAAACAGTCTTCTTCAATACTTCTACAACGTCAAAGTAGTTCGTGATATAGTGCTCAACTTTGACGATGTCAAACTTGAGCTTGACGAGGAGACTGTTGCACGACGTCGAACTGGAGGCAATGGCACTAGTGTTAATCTAGAAGAAGCTATTGTTGCCAGACAATGTAAGCATCCCAATCATCTATTAATTTTTTGCATTTCTTTTCCTACTTTCCTCCCTTTTTCTTTCCTTCTCTCTCTCTCTCTCTTTTTTTTTTTTTTTTTTTTTTTTTTTTTTTTCTATTTTTTCTACGGAAAACGCTAACATCATAGGAAGTTGTCGAGATGCTCCAGGGTTTGTTCGCTGATCTACAGACAACTGCACAAATCGCAGCTCAGCCATCACAAAAACTTGCGAATACAGCTCTCTCATCGGCCAGAGATATTTTAGATCGGCAGTCACAGAATATTCCGCCACCTTTACCAGCACGGCCATCACCAGCACCGCCTGCTATTCCCCAGGCAAATAATGACAACGGAGTGAGTGGGCAGGTGAATGTAACTGTCGAGTCAGTTAATGATAAGCTGGAACTGGCTAGCTCACAAAGTTCCCAAACATTAGTTGATGAGAGCGAGGACGTAGTCATGGCGAACACTGAGTCAAAAACGCCGAATGAGGATACTCCCGTTTCCCAGTCGAATGATGTCAAGATGGAGGACGTGGCTGAGTCTTCATCTCTTGATGCCAAGTTCGCAGAAGTTTCACGACGATTAGAACATTCCGACCGTTCAGGAACAGCTCAGCAAGACGTTGGGGAGATCATCGGTAACATCTTAGAACACTTCATGCGTGCAATACGTTCAGATGGCCCGATGGGATTATCCGAGCTATCCGGTTTACAAGCCGACAAGATTACAGAGACATTTTTCACTACTATTGTGAATTACACCATCAAGACTAAGAAGGGTCAGCCTACAAACGGCTCAGTCACTCCCATTGAAGAGAATCCTGTGAATGTCGAGATCGTACCAGAGCGCTGGATCACCGCTTATCCCGAGGAGGTGAGCGAGACCTCGGAGGGCACAAACAACAATGCAGATGGAGCGAGCAATGCACGATGCACACTAGTCGAGGCTTTAGATCGATATTTCTCTTATGAACCGATCGATGACGGAAACCGTGCACGCTACAGCAGCATTCGATCGCTTCCGCCTATCTTGCATATCTGCATTCAAAGAAGCACCCCAAAGGGTAAAAACAAGAATCCCGTTATTATCCCAGAGGTCTTGTATCTTGATCGTTACATGGAGGCTAAGGATGGTTATCCCGTCTGGATTGCTCGTAAAAGGACATGGGCGCTTAAGGAACGCCTGAAAGAACTTGGAACCAAGATCCACCCGAGCAATCAGAAGAGCAAAGCCAACCAGGGCCCTGAAGTGTGGGCTAACGCAGTGGTTAGTTATATTACTGCCTTCTTATTTTGAACCATCCAGTGCTAATCCTAAACTTAAGGACCCTGAATTCAAGGATTTTCAGATGATGGATGCCCAAGAACTGCAAAATACGACTGTGGCAGCAATTGAGAAGTCGAAGCAAGAATCTCATCTGGATAAGCCGTTCCTTGATGATATTGGCCTGCAGGCTAAGGATGAGCTATCCAACACGCTGGACCCTATCGAGTCGATATTATCGAAGATGTCTAAAGCTACGCTAGACTCGCCAGCTGACGAACCGCTCAGCGATAAGTTAGGCGACATTCTCTGGGAAACCGCCTCACCACTCGATGTGGGAACTCTGGAGGAAGTTCTCGAGTTGCGTCAAAAGGAAGAGACTACTTTTGACTCTATGAAGAGCGAGAAGTATGCAATCCATGCTGTGATTTGCCACCGTGGTGGCACGGCGGCGGGTCACTATTGGGTCTGGATCCGAGACTTTAAACGCAATGTCTGGTACCGCTACAACGACGAGACGGTTACAGAAGATAGCCGCGGCACCGAGGCTGTTCTGGATGACTTAAACCAGACTGGTGATCCTTATTATGTCGCCTACGTTCGAGATGAGATGAAGGACGACCTAGTCGACGTGCCTCAGCGTCAAAAGCCCGAGGCCGCAGACCCCTCGACTACCACTCATGAAACCCCTACAGTCCAGGAGGTAGAGACGATCGAGGGAGTGATGCCAGAACTCATCTAAGTTTCTTTCATCGACGGGGGTTCGTCAGGTTAGTGTAGCAGCGAGTGCTACCATGTTCTGATCCTGGTATATACCCTTGTTCTTTCATCTCACGCATCATGAGTCCACAATTGCATTAGCAGGGGAGTTTGCTATGATTTTTGTACCCAGGAAAACTGACCTAGGTAGGCCGAGATGGCATATTGTCTGAATCACTCAATGAGAAATGAAAACGATGATCATGAAACTTTTGGTTGGTCCGACTAATTAAACTTGTGACGTAGAGTATTAGGTATTCTTACTACAGGTAAGTCAACCACAGGCGTTATTTCGTCCTGTAAATTCCGGCTTGCCATGCATTAGATACTGTTCGCCGTTAAGATCAGGGGTATACTCTCAGACTTAATTCAATCGTACTCTTGACCAAAAGACAGGAAGATTGTGGAACCTGACAGACACAGTAGGTCCTTTACGCTTGCTCTCGGATTCTAACAATACACAAAACTATCCGTGACGGCACATTCCCCTGTACCTAATTCAACAGCACAGGTACTTCCATAATAAAACCGCCCCTGAGATATACAATCTCGTGTCGTAAGCCATAAACAAAGGAAGGAAAGGCAGTGATTAGGAAGAGGAGGTAGACGGATCGGCGGAAGGAGAGGGGGATGATGGGCTGGCTGTGAACAAGGGAGAAAGCTGCTGCTGCGACGCTTCTTGAAGAGCGTGCATGGATATGTCGAGTAAGGGGTGCGCAACAGGAGTGTTGTTACTGTTATTCTCCTGTGCCGCGGTAGATTCACCCCCGGCTGAGCTCTGCGAGGAGGGACCAGCGTTATCTGCCTGCTTCTTCGTGGGCGTTTGGCCGTCGGATCCTACTGGTGTGATTAGCTTACCTCTATCTATCTACCCCTATCTAGATGATACTACAATAGTAGTACTGTAGGGATCTTTACCTCTTTTCGGCCTCCCCGAGCGCGGGGCGACGGCGGCGGTTTGGGCGTGGATGGCGGTGCGGATCTGGCTGGTGGAGTAGCCGGTGACCTGCTTGATGCGCGGCTTGCTCATGCCGGCGTCGTAGTACAGCGTCCGGACGCGGAAGCGCTCCATCTCGGTCAGGTGTTTTATGTGGAGACCTTTCGGTCGGGTTCCTCCTGTTGCTGGCATTATTATATTGTCTCCCTTTTTCCCACCGCCTTTTTTATAATTTTCTCATCAGTTGTAGAATTATTTTATTAATTATAAATTTCTTGTATATTTTTTCATGTATATCGCGCGATGTCTGGTTCTTCTCCTATTGCTCTAAATGGTAGTGTTGATAATGAGGAATGGATGTTAAAGTAAGATTGAAAGGGTGAGGCGGGAAAGTTTTAGCCCCTGGGTCCACCGTTTTAATTCGGATAAAACGATTAACCCGGTTTTATAATTAAGGAGAGATTTTATGATGGGTTACGTGAATAACCCCGGATCTTTCAGGGGTATCCTTCAACGTCAATGGCAAATGTAGTCTCTTCCTCAAAAAGAATTCTTTCAATTTAACGACTATAGTTCAAGGTTAAGCCTCTCATCGTAAATGTATGTTTCGTCTTTATCCTTGCAGCGAACTGCTCTCCCACTTTGAACCACATTTCCCCGATCTTTGCATGGAACCTACACTTCTCATGAAGTTGTTGCGCCGCTGGATACCCTCGATGTCAGTGTGCAGTATCAAGCAATAATCATCTCCTAAGGACCAAAAGCGCAGATTATCATTCTTATAGATAGATATAAGATATGGGCAAGAGCTTCATTGACTCCCATCCCCTCAGAATATGTAGTCTCCATATGCAAGTCATAACCTTCTTTAATTGAGATAACAGTCAGTGCGAGCAAGAGCAAAGTAAGAATTGTGGGCGCAAACATCAATCCAAAAGAAAGGTAGAAGGAACAAATAACAGCTGACATGAAAATAGGACGTAAACTGTGAGAAGGAGATAACAAAGAACAATCGCTTGTCATACATTCCGTATATGGGAAGTCTATCTGACGTATCTAAATTTGATGGATTCCGTTTGATGAAAAGTTACTTCATTGGTTGAAAATATCACAACGTCTCGTCTTCATTCGTTAACGTGATTATCTTTGGCTATCTTCCATCACGTCTTAGCATTCTCTACTAGTATTCATCCAGCTGGGCTACCATACAAAATGCCCTCTCCGGCTCCGAGTCCACCAACTGACCCGTCCCAAGTATCAGACGGCCTTGCAGATTGGACGAGCCGCCTCCCAATTCAAGAGGCCACTTTCCAAAAACTCACTAGCTTGCGCTACCTTTTCTACAGTACGCAGTTCATCCGTTCCGGGGTACCAACTACTGCCTGGAACGCTATTCTCCTCGGGCATCGCGAGAGGTCTCTCCATGATGCTACATATATGGAAGTTCAGGCTGGCATATGTGACCTTTTTGAATGTTGTGTCTCAACATACAACGATTACGGCTTTGGATTGATCGATACGGGGTCATTCTGGATGGTGGTTTGGAGTCGCCTGCAGAAACTTCAAGGATCAGAAACCTATGACTTTTATACCCACAGATATCTCCCACATATCGTGCACTTCTACGCTAAATCGAGAGAGCTTGGGCAAAGATACTCAGTGCCGAGCGACTAGGAAGAGACCGTCGACACGAAGTACTTCCTCCAGCGACTAATAGATACCTGGAATAGAAAGACCTTCTTCCAAACGTACTGGGATCCCCACACAGGCGTCAGTCATCAGATAAGAAGACTGGGATTCGTCACCGACGACGAATACTGGTATGCAACTTTAGTGCTGAATCAAGCGAATCACAATTCCACTTCGGATCCGAGTTTCAAGTCAAACACCAGCTCAAAGAAATCCCAACATGATAAACCAGAGAGCATCACTTCCTCCGTGAAAATCACTGTCCATACAGGCCCCAAAGTCGATTCTAACTCTGATGGAAGTTCCAAATATAGTAGCCAACCTAACTCCTCTGAGGAGTTCGAAAATGTATCTCCTCCTACATTTGACTCCCTTGAAAGAGAGGATGAGTATTTGGAGATAGACACTTCTACAGAGACAGATACTTCTTCAGGAGGTAGCAGTTCGCCGGAGTCAATAATATTTCCCTCGAGTACTTTTAAGAACAGAACAAAACGTGAAACGAGCGTCTGGAAATACGTGAGAGACATTGCATACCAGTTTCGGCCGAGGAAATCATAGGTTACGCTGGCCATAGCATAGCATGGACATTACGTCTTACAATGGCTAGTACGAATTTGCATTGCTCAACAGCAGCGATTGATTCTAGGTTAGCAGTGTATATAGACAGAATAGCGATTCATTGAGTAAATGCGTCTTGAAAACGGGTTCTATGTGTGTTTATAGTTCATCAGAAGCCAGTATAATACAGCAATATCCTGAGTCACAGCATACAGATAAATATGAGTGACGCCATATTATTTTTACTATACTGTGCCAGGTGAGCCAAGTGGAAGCTGGCTCTTATGCGTTCCCTTGGCATGCCCCTAGAAATGGTATATATATATACCTATTATCGCTCTCCTCGCCATTACGAAAAAGCTAATAATTTACCCATCAGTCCGTTGTTATTCATAACGCCGTAACGGTGCCAAAGCAGCCATGCATCAGAGTGGTTACGAGCATGTCACTAACGTTCTTACCCCTAACCTCGATGACATCTTCGCCCAGTCCGAAGCACTCGACTTCACGAAACTTCACATACTACCATCCATCCACGCGGACTGTAGGATCTTGATACACGGCAATAGGCATTGCTCTGATACATTGACAAACGCGGATGTAATCAACGGGGTTCACAGGATCTTCAGGATCGTTCTAGACCTGATTACTGGTCCTCAGAACTTGGGTGCTAATTCACTAAGATTGTACGAGCTCGCATACAACCAGCTTCGACTGAACCCTCGCATGGCAATAGATCCAAGACGTATTCGAATCCTCCTAGACTTTTACGCAATGGGCCACTTGAATGCGCTGCCTAGATACGGGAGACGTGGTGAAATATTCAGTGAAGACAGGCTTCATGATGGCTCTGCTGATCTTATTCGTCTTATATCTACTTGGATTAGCCATACAGACTTCACACAAATCACCAATGTGTTAGATGGGAATTTTGATTCTTTATTCTAAGGCTATGTACCTGATGGAAGAATGACAGATAGCAATTCAAGCCAAGTAAATGGGTATATTAGTATCTAATTAGCAGTCCTTAATCCATAAGCTCTGGGAATATCCGAGAGAGCTTTAAACCAAGCGACAGTAAGAGTGAGGAAAAAGTGAATGGTAATTCATGTACCCAACTGACTCATAAGGGAGTGGTTATGCTACCAGTCAACGGCGGGTTCAGGTGCATCAGCAGGCAAGAGACCGCTGAAGTTATAATGGACATGAGGTTCTGGGGACCCTAAATCTAGGTGTATTTTAGGGGTTGTTGCTATACAGAAGCTGGCTGTCGTTACCGGCCCTCCTATCCTCCCATCACGTATATACTACGAACGTCGTCACCTAGCACTTCCCGTTTCTTTTTTCTCTTCTTTACAACAACAACAACTTCACAACATATCTCGGCTCGTCTGGAAATTTTCTTTTTATCAAAAAACACAATCTCGTAAGTGATACACATTCCCGTTAACAATATCTATTCTTTCTATACACATACCTCAATTCTTACCGTCTATACTTCTAACCACCAAAGGGTTTCCCGTCTCGCCGTCCTTGAACCACAATAACAAGTCCAACCAGCATCACCATCCAGTAAGTACGCCGTCTTTATTCCCTTCCATTTTCCCACTCATCAACCTGATGTCCTTTTCTTATTCACCAATGCGTCGGCGATCAAAACCATCACTAACCATCATCATATAGAGCCTTCCTGTCGTCGTTTGGGGACAACAAATCCAATATCAACATTCACCTACTCACAAGGCTCCCTTCTAAAAAAAAAAATAGTCTATCTCGTTCTGAAAGCCACTATCCTGTAAGTACGCCGCACTCAACCTTCCTCTCATCCACCTCACTGTCTGTTTTTCACTCACCATACTGTCGGCGATCAAGTCCACCACTAACCATCTACAAATCCAGGATGCGATTCACCGACGACATGTCCGGGCTCTCCGATTCTGATTCCGACCTGCCCATGATGCAGCGTCGCCTGGCCGCCGCCCAGCCCCCGGCCCAGCCCGCTGTGCAGCATGTCAACCATCAACCAGTTCCTGCCCAAGCCCCCCAAGGCCCCCAAGGTGTCGGCGGTTTCCGTGTTTGCCCTCATGGCAACAATGTCCTTGCCTGCCCCTACCCTCACCACAATATGTCCGCCGCCACCAGCCCCTACCTGCAGCCTCAGCTGCCCCTGCCCCACCCCCAGTACCAGCAGGCGCGCCTCCCGAGCCCTTGGCAACCCCAGCAGTTCCAGCAACCCCAACAGTACCAGCAGCAACAGCAGCAGCAGGACTTCCACCAAGGATATCACCCCCAGCAGCAGCAGCAGCAGCAGCAGCACGACTACCAGCAGCAACAGCAACAGCAGCAGGAGGACTACGACCAAGGATACCCCCAGCAGCAGCAGCCAGGCCCGCAGCACCTTCTCCCCCCCAACCTCCCCCCTCCCAACTTCCAGCACCCGCCCCAACCGATGTCCCCCTTCCCAGTCGTGTCGGCGCCCGGAACCCACTTCCTCGACCTGATCGCCGCCGCGCAGTCCGAGGGGGAGGCGCTGCACGCGGTCCTGGCCCGCGCCGAGCAGGAGCGCAACGACGCGTTCCTGCGCTGCTACCTGCAGGGCGCGCGCATCGACGAGCTGACGCACCAGCAGCAGCAGATGGCCCAGCAGATCGGCGAGCAGCAGGCCGAGCTGGCGGTGCTGCGCTGCGCCGTTTGGGCGCAGGGGGTTGGTGAAGGTGGTGGACAGGCAGGACAGGAAGGTGGACAGGGAGGACAGGAAGGTGGACAGGGACAAGGTCAAGAGGGTCGCCGAGATGGACAGGGAAATGGTTACAATGGGATGGGAGGTGGATGTGGACCCGGAGCTGGACCTTCTGCGCCGGTGTGAGAGGTTGCGACTGCGTTGTGCACGATGAAGATGCCATTGCCAATATCGACGTCGCCGTCCACAAAGGTTTCTAAGACGGAGTTTGGGTTGGGTTGGGTTGAAATACTAGGTAGTCTCATGACCTTGACTGCCTGTGGTTGTCCTTGCTGTTGTCATCGTTAAGCACCCTCCTATGGGTGCTTGCTAATAACTGAGTTGATACATGATGCTTTGAGAATTCGCTTGAGTGACTTGACGACTTACATCTAAAGATGCTTTGGCTTGTCTTAACAGCAAGGTAAGGACAAAGTGAGCAGCTTCCTATGTTCATAGTAGTCTTCAAGTTCTTTACTCCTTTAATGATAGGGCTAGTGAAGACTACCGTCGTTACGCCCACTATAAAGGACTGCCTTGATGAAATATTTCATCCACAACCTTCACTACGCTTCCTGCTACCAAGTTAGCTCATAGCTGAACAAACACACAGGGCATCCACTTACCTACAGTCAAATAACTTTATACACCCAACACTACACAGATCACTCAATAAATAACCGTACTAACAAGAGAAGCTAGACTCTTTTCATTCCATTTCTATAAACACCCTAAAAGACGGCAAAGCGTCCATCCATAGACGAACGGCACCCGTCGCCAAAGCCTTTTATTTTTGTATGTATTATACATATCTCGAAGTAAGACGCACACACGCTACCAAAGTCGGCTTGGACAAAAAGGAAGTTTGAAGAAGAAAAAAAAGGGGTAGTAGAAAAATAAAAACTCGTCAAATTCATGCGGTTTATGCAATGGTGGTATCATGTCTTTCTGTACAAACACAATGATATGCTCTCTTAGCAGCGACAAAGGGAAAAACAGGGGGGAGGGAACGCACCCCGATGATAGAAACATCTCGTCGACAAGACGGTCCTTGCCTGTCAAGGGAATTTAAAGCAGTGAAGAAAACCGCAAGAATTGACTGAATGCCGTCCTCCTTTTTTTCTCCCTCTATAGGCCGTTCGCCACCCGCGGCTAACACTAATTCTTCGGCAACGTTGGCCTGGTTGACCACTCCTACCCCAGGCAAACATAGTTCGATATTGACCCGATTTTATATTGCTCATTAGGTGTCTCGCCATCCTTCCAATATTATTCGCTTCGGAACTTCGGGTTACTCAACGATTTGTCAAGGTACTCAAGCAATCCCATTACCTGACTCCAACACCTTAACGCCAATAGAATTCCTAGCAATCGCTCGACTCGTAGATCTTTATTTGGGAACAGGCGGCAGTGCCTTCTCGATACTTTCACGACTGAATTTGTGTCTTAGGAATTTGAACCCGCCACCGCTATTACCACTCCTTTTCCCACTCACGAAACTACCGTCGGGTTCCAGGTAACTGGTCTTTGGTGGCGTTGGTGGGCCCCTACCCCCTATACCATGAGGGCCCAGGTTGGTAAATCCATCCGGCCTCTCCGTTGGCGACGGTGTATAAGGTCGAGATTCACTAGCGCTGTCGCCTTGGCTTCGTCCACCAACTGAGCCTGCCTCCGCTGTTTCCTCGACAACCGGTAGAACGGCACGAGAGTCGGCCCTTGATCCAGGAGATATGGCCGTCGTTATCTTACGTTCCGGCACTTGTTCCTCCTTAGCACCATCTTTCTCGTTTGCCTTCTTAAGGGCAGTCTCTATAGTGGGATTTGGTTCAGGAGAACTTGGGCTTCTCATACCTGGCGGCGCAGGAGGCAGATAAGACGGTGCGGGCGGCACACTATTAGGTCCTGGCGCCTCAAGGTCGTCTTGTTGGGCACGCTCCATTTCGGCCATCGCAACGGCCGCTTCCTCGCGTTCGTGGGCATCTCGCATTGCCTCTTCCTGCGATTTTGTAATACCGGACATGAACTTGATAAAACGATCACCATACTCCTCAGGTGGCAGGGCGGATATTTGGGTACGATCGCTGGAAAGACCCTTCCAAAAATGCTCTATCTTCTTGATCACACCATACTATTGTTCGAATTAGCAAGGTATTCTTCATCCATTTCAAACAAAAATTCCACTTACGTGTGTCAAGCAGTCAATGACTCCGAGATAGTAGACTTCTTCACCCGCGCTGTTGTCTTCGTGAGTCGCTCGTAAGCCGCCGTCGTCGCTATAAAACATTCCGCCTCGGCCATGACCTTCGGCTAGCTCATCTGGCATTTTGGTATTAGTTTGGCCTACGGGAACAGGCCGCTCCGCCTTAATCATCTGTCTTAGCTCCCTCGCTTTACGTGCATTTTCTAGTTTTGACGGCGTTCTCATGAGGACAGAGCTGGGATCGAACCCCTCATCCGACGGACTATCCCCCCCTGGGTTGAATACCTGTAGTGTCTTGCCTCGAAGGTTCTCTTCATTTCCTTTCCGTAAGTCATGGATTCCAATGAGAAGAGAGTAATCCATAATCTTTAGCTTTTGTAGAAGGCGAACGTCACGCTCGAGTTGTTGCAAGAATAGTTGCTTCTTCTGGATTCCTAGTTCGAGGTTCCTCTTTCGTCGTAGCCAATTCAGATCCTTTAGAGTTGCCCGCGGATTCTTCTCAAGGTCTTCTTCACGATAGTCACGTCCTACAGTGGAACCCTTCAGGTCGAATGTAGTATGGATGTCTCGGTGGGGAGGGAACAGGTTGTTCATGACGACGAAGTGGATCTTTTTGCCATATGGCATCTTGACGCGGTGCAAACCGTAGAACTGGGACAGGAGCGTATTCGGGTTATCCGTGACGTGTTCGTAATAATCCTTCAAGATCTTCCGCAGGAATTTATGTTCACTGTGGTGAATAGTCTTGATGATGTACTTGTAGTCCCTAGAGAAATAAAAGAAACTACCACTCTTTCCCGGAGAGCCAAGCTCAGACAGGATATATTTTCCCGTAAGTGACATCAGGTAATCGGCAGGGTCTAACCTAAAGAGAGCACGAAGATGCCGGAAGACCCAGGGCGCGTAATCCTTGAACTTGAAGTCATATTTCGCCGAGGGGACTAACTCGTTGCCCGCGCTGCTTTCGTCAGTGAAATCCTGATATACAAATCCAGCTTAGGTACTCACATGTCGAACGTCGATTTCTGCTTAGTTTCGAAGTCGGCATCTGTAAGGGGGCGGTCGAGTTTCGCATTCGTACGAGAAACAGATACACGAATACCCGTTAACATGTTGTACGCCGTCGTCCAATTCGCGTGATTTTCGTCAACCTTGGTTCCGACCAAGACCCTATCATCATCCTCTTCTTCCCGCTTCTTCTTTTTGGCCCGCTTTTGTCGATATGCTTCTGCCCACCTCAGAGCATCGTCATCGGGCAATATTTCGTCGCGAGGCACATCGGAGTGCAAGGAACGAGTATTACGTCTTCCAAGATTCAGGGACCCCCGGCGTTGAGATGGACCAGCTCCGGTAGGGGAGAACCTACCGCTAGCGAATGCGGTGTCATTGCTATCTCTCGATCCTCGCCCAGGCTGGACTCTAGGCACCTCGAGAGTGTGTCTGTGTTTCAACCCGCCTGAGGGAGCCTGCAGTGCCGATGTGGACACGGACGCCCCGGTTGACGGGTAATTCGGGGGACCAGAAAACCTCTGTGGCGGCGGAGATCTACGTTGAGTCGGGTCGGGATTGGGTGTAGACGGGGTCAATGGGCTTGGTAGTAAGTAGCTCGGGACCGACCCGTCGGGGGACACAGTACCATTGCTCAGCGAATTTCGGGATTGTTCGACAGGAGGTTGTACCGAAACCGAAACACGAGAGTCCACAGAAAAGCGATTGAGCTGAGATTCCGACGTGCTCTTACGTTGATTTTCGGTTGTTTGAGATACGCCGTTCACAGTGGGCTGATGTTCTGACGAGTCGTTTCTAGACAAAGGTGCTTTCATATTGGACAGATATTTGGAGTTTGGGCCCGTTGCGGCGGAACCATTCGAGTCTTTACTCGACCTGCCATTGGGCCAAGCAGTCATGCTCGGCACGGTCGACCCATCCGCATTCATTCGCGTCCGTAGGTCGGAGCTATAAGAGGAATGCGAAGATGAGTTATCGTCCCAAGTTTCATTCGTGTCAATTGTGGTGGTTAACGGTCTTGAAATGAGGGTTTCTTTAGCAGTTGACAATTTTTCAAAGTTTGGTGCGTGATGGTTTCCAAGATGAACGACGCCGGCGTTGGGAGCGTATATAGGGGAGTTTTCGTCGTTCACGAATGTAGGCATATTTCAATTCCGTACGTTGTCAGGTAGGCTTCGTTCGACAAGCCGAATGAAGTCCACCTGAAACCCTCGCCCGTAAATGTCGTGTCTCAAGACAGCGCCTTTGCCGGTCGGGCGAGGGATGTACGGTGTGCAAAACAAGAGGAAGTCGAAACAGATACTATTGCTATCCTCTTTGGTGATGGTGTTTTCGGTACCGTGGGTGGTATAATTGTTATTGTTGGCTATTGCTGAGACCTTACGATAGGGATAAGGGGGGAAAGACGTTGAAGATGCAAGGCGAGAGATTGTGTTGTCGTGTAAAGTGCAAAGCGTAAAGCGCAAAGCAAGAAAGTTGGCAGCTGAGTGGGTATTGGAGGCTGGGCCTCATGTGATTGGCCCTTCCAGCGTGGATACCGAAGTGTGGAACGTCCTAATTGCACAAGCTCAGCCACGCCGCTGGGCTTCGTCTCGTATAACTGAATGGGAAAGAGTTAGGAATAATGGAATAAAAGGTGGAACTAATAAACTCTAGCGAAGTTAAAAATACATATACACACTAATCCTTAAACTCCTTAAACACTTAAATGTCTACATGAATCCAACTAGTATCTACTAAGTAAAAACCCTTGAGATAAATTCCTGGATATCGATTCCATGTTGGAAACATTTGGGTTCTAAGCTGTAGGCTGGTAGGACCACAGCCTTAGGTTGTCAGAATTCGCAACTTGTCACTCAGCTCGAGCACTTTTCGGTACTTAGATCGTGCATGGCATGCATGTATATTACATGTATATTATTGCAATTAAGCATACCGACGCGTCTTATTGTGGCTAACTGCAGCTAGCAACAGCACTGAGAATTAACTAAACCGGACGGAAATGAGTACCTGGATCGATGGATCTTTCCCTTCCCGCAATTCTGGACCGTCTGACCAAAAAAAGGAGAATTAGGGAGTGCCCTAAGCTTCAACTAAGCCGCTAAGTAAGCTGCGATTCGATATTTGACATCAATTTATCAGGGGTATGGAATCTACCTTGGCATAAAGTGTTGAATTATGAATTATGTCAACGGATAATATCTCACCACTTATTTTCGTACCTCGCACTTCGCACTTCGCATTTCGCATCTTTCAGTTTCTACAGAATAAGTACATACCTCATCTATCTTACATGCAGACATGCAGCGCAACAATCCAGTCAACACCTAGGTTGACTTAACTGACTTCTTTATGCAGGCTTCTATGTTTTCAGCCACCGACATTATGCGATTCTATGGTTGATTGAAAGGACCCCGAGCTGGCGCCCAGGGTTTCCTGACCTGCCGACCTTGCCGACTTGGCCCGGTTTGGGAAATCGATTTTAATCATTTTAATGCGGCTTCCACATAAAATCAATCAAACGCTCTGCTTCATGAGGCGCAACCCAACACCCCATGCTGCTCATCTACTTACATAGTTTATCTCTAAGTCGATCTTCCAACGACAAGTCAGCATTTCTCCATCGATCTTCAATGCTGGCAGACGGTATCGTCAAAGAGGATTTGAAAGCTAACGATGAGCATTTAAGAAAGCCTATTCGAAAGCACGTCTTTTCTATGGAGAAACTTACAAAAGACCTAATGCCAATGCCGCTATCCGTGCTACCAGCTCAGATGCAGCGCCCCAGTTCATGATAGCTGCCCAAATCTTGGGTTACCAGCCACATCACCGGCATTAGTTATCATCTTGATGTAGATCATGTCGGTCATATAAAAGAAGGGTGCCGAGCGACGAAGATCTCATTGCCGAAGATCCGCCCTCCTTACATTCAGTCCCATAGGCGGAGTCTACATAAAGGTAAAACCCGAATACGTGATGGACCAATGCGATCATTCGGACACCGGAGAATACTTTCTCTGTCTAGGTAAGCGTAAACAACAGGAATGTTTATTAATAATACTAGCATCTTTGAGTTAGGTATCGCGAGAAACGAGAAATTCTGTAAGCTTCCATAATCTAGAAATGATTGTTAGGATACATCCCGTATGAATAGATTGATAACCGTGTTACAAAGCCATAACTGATTCTTTTACGCTACACAATACATAGTGACAGTATATAGATTAGGGCTTGGAATCTGCCTAAAACTCAAGTCATATCTCGTCAAGTACGTTATGCCTCAATATTTCTCACTGCCATAGAGTAATTCAAGCTTCATAGGCGCTAAGTGGCATGATATTCCAGCTCCCGACGCTCATATATGAACATGAGTATAATAGAAGGGAGATTTCTTGTGCATGTCGTTTTCCTATCCGAAACTCCTTCCAATGCCCGAGTGTTTTATGTACAATATGGTACATGTTCATATAGACAGACTACTAATTGGGTCCATTGAGTGACGGTGACCACTCTATGCATTCTTTCTAGGGACATTGCCGAGTTCTTTCGCACCTAGCGAATCTGCGCCTTCTCTTTCTAACTTCTCATATGCCTCCTTCTTTTGATGCTCAGCGACTCGATACCGCTTGAAATAATTCACCTATACATGGGATATGGGTTAGTCATGTTCTATATTCAAATCGAGAGACCACAAAGAATGATGGGAACAGGCGACAAGAATAACCTACCCAAGCAGCAGCACAGTTGTCCTCAAACCCCCTGTTTTCTTTCCCACATTGCTTCTCAGCGATTTTCTTGCCGTCGCCTTTTGTCGAATCGATGACGTCGTGCTTGTCTAGGCACCTATAGAACTCGTCTCGCGCATCCCAGCATTGCTTGCGCTCTGTCCTGTCCGGGGCCCTGGCTCCAGTGCGCACTTCCTGCTTGCGCTGTTCATCGCTGGAGGAGAAGAATCCGAAAAGGCCCATAACGATTTTAGATGTCAATGGACACCCAGGTATACGATTAAGCGGATGACGAAGTCGAAATACTTGGTCGCTTGGGTCGTGGCGGTTCCGTCACCTAACTAGTCTAGCCTAGCCGTTCGTTTCGCAGAGTGACGTCGGTAATTGTGAATGTGAAAACATCGAAGCTATCACGGAAAGGTCAGAAGCTTATCGAAGCTTAATGCCGATAGGTACCGATAATGGAGCTTGGCGATTATGTAACATTTAACATCAGTAGGACAATAATAGAGTTTAGATTTACTTACCCAATTAAGACCAAATTTCTTGATCTTAGCTGCATTAGGTAAGGGCCCCCTGCGTCACCCTTTTCTCATCAACTGGTTTTGGTGGACAGTCGTCAGCGAAGCGCATGACTAACCAAACCTTCACCAAATTTACATTTATCTTAAGCTTGTAATATTAACCAACAACTATCAACGATGATTTCAACCGTTTGATGGTGTTGCCTTTTTCATGTTCATCACTTGTATCATTTAGAACTTTCGATCCATATTCTGCCGACCACTATCGAAGAAGAATATCTAGCTATGGTGGTCATATAGCGCGACGTTGAAACAGACGCTCACAGATCGACTTCCTTTCTTCCGCTCATTTACGCCCTTTTTTCAACAACACCAGATCAACATCACACATCCAGCAATTCCGATCATCTCCCCCTTTTCCTTCATACCAGAGCTCGAAAATGGCTAGACGAAGGAGACCCCCACGGGCCGGCGCCGTAAACGAGCTTCCCCCTCTGCGAATCCTCGGCCAGATTGCAGCCTTACAGAGCATATACTACGCAGTCGCGCTAGTCCTGATGCTCTTCACATCCCTAGTTTCCGGCACGCGATTCGGCTTAGACCTTGTCTTCGGGTGGGCAAGTCTGCGCGGTGACACAACCCAAGGGTGGTTGATAGGCTTTATCTGGCTATGCTGCGCCGGTGTCACGTTCGTTTCCCGTCTTCCTAGGAGATATCTAGGAAATGTCGCTAACAATAATATCATACAGTATCTTAGCGATGGTAGCCTTGATAGGCCGATCGAAGCTCGTGCTCGATTTCGCGCTTAGCCTCCACTTCATCCACCTCGTTATCGTTACATTCTATACGGGCTTCATACCACGAAATGTCGCCTGGTGGACTACGATGCTTGTCTCAAGCGCCGTCACAGTTATAGGGGGTACTTATGGTTGCCAGTGGAGGGAACTACGACCCATCAGTTTCGGAGGTAATGCTAAGAACAGCAATAATGGAGAGGGGAACGCCGAGTCCGCGGCAGAAAACGGAAATGCCGGAATAGAGCAAGGCGACGAAGAAGCAGGCTTCTCTAGAGGCCGTGGGAGAGGCAGAGGACGAGACGGTGCTGGGGAATATGAGATGGTTGGTATAAAGGATACCGGAAATCGATAATATTCCCTACGATACCGGATGATCACACTTCGTCGATTTTGTATGAATACCTACTGCATTCGCATGGCGTTGGCTTGTTTGAAGACAATAATATGAGCCCGAAGACTCGGGACTATGCACACGTTCCACCTTTCACATCGCGACACGGAGTTATCAATGAAATCATGGCACTCATGCAGATATGGAAATATTTGATATCGGAGCAACACCGTCTTTCGACATGCAGATCTATGGGCATCCTCGCCCCGCGAGTTCGAATCCCCATATCTACCTGGGTATGTTCGTTTCAAATACCCAGGTTTGGTATGAGAATGAAATACCAGCTACCAGTTTGAAAGCTGTCATACAAGAGTGGATAGTCAAACCGCAAATTCGATATGAATGATCTATCCAAGTTTGCGCATGAGCTATATCACCACTTGTAGTCGCTAAAACCCGGTTATAAATTTGCTGAAAGCCTCAATAGCATCAATAATAGCCTGAAATACCTAGGTACACATTACATAGTAACAAAAAGAGAAATCCTTCTAGAATCTATTACGGATGAAAGGGGTGCCCCTGAATATGTCGCTACACCTATATTTAGCACACATATTGACTTATCCATGATTGGATGTGGATAGATGGATCCCCTATTCAAAAATTGGTTAGTGCCGATATCTGCGATATCCATAATGACCTCAGTGAACTGTTTGTCCCCTAGATCATTTGTAGGCGAGCAGGAGCTGCCCGATTACCCAATACTTCCCGGGCCATTACCTACCCCACCACCCCGCCATTGAAGAATTCATAGTTTTGCGCGCATCATAAGAAAAGAGAAAAATAAAATAGATATTGTGACATTGCGACTCTTTCCTCTTCTTTGTTGCTTCTCTGTTATTCTAACTCACCCAATTACCGATCTACAACTTCGCCCGCCATGGCTACTATCGTGTTAGGTGTCCAATGGGGAGAGTAAGGATTCCATTTTAATCTCCGTTTCCTATTCCTCTCTGCTAATTGGTCTTGTCAGTGAAGGGAAAGGTGAGTGACTTTTTCATCTAGCGAGATGTATACATATATATACCTCCTAGCGCCGCCTCATAAGAATCACTCTTCTCACGTCCCTCTTTACAAGGCAAACTTTGCGATGTTCTCAGCTCCGAGGTTCAGATCTGTGCCAGAGCTACTGGTGGAAGAAATTGCGGTCACAGTAAGACGATCCTTTATTTGTCTCTCTTTGCGACGAGATATCTAGGTACCTCGGTACTGACCTCGCCTTCTAGCTGTCGTGATCAAGGGGGCATCTTATGACTTGTACGTATACGCACCGACTCCCGGCCACCTAGGTACTATACAGTAGGGGGTTCACTAACACTTTAAAGCCACATGCTGCCGTCGGGACTACTCCACCCCACGACTACAAATCTTATCGGACCCGGTGTCGTCCTGCACGTGCCTACGTTCTTTTCCGAGCTTGCCACCACTGAGTCAAAGGGCGTTGAGAACTGCCAACAGAGACTCAAGGTCTCAACACGCTGTGCGCTGAACCTCGATCTTCACGCAGCCGCCGACCGTCTTCGCGAAGGACAGCTCGGCAAGAAAAACATAGGAACTACAGGTAAAGGTATCGGTCCTGCATACAGCTCCAAGGCAGAGAGGAGCACTGTGCTTCTCGCTGATCTGCTTGACGACGATGAGTTTGGAGACAGAATCAGAGCAATGGAGCGAGATTACAAGTTAAGATACGGCGGCGAGCTTGAAGGATATGACGTCGAGGCGGAAATCAAAGAGCTTGAGGTAAGTATTTTACCCTTTCGTATGTTCTCTTCTAACCCCCCAGAACTTCCGCGAGAAACTTCGCCCCTTCGCCATAAACGATATCGAATTCCTGGAGGAGGCCCAACAACAAGGAAAGAAGATTCTTATCGAGGGCGCGCAGTCGGCTTTGTTGGATAACACATACGGAACTTGGCCGTTCGTGACCTCAACATCAACTACCTTCGGCGGCGTAATGGCTGGCCTCACCCTCAACTACCGAAAGGTGGACTCCGTCATAGGCGTCCTGAAGGCGTACACCACGCGAGTCGGGTCTGGGCCGTTCCCCACGGAGGATTTCGGGGAGATAAGTAATAAGTTGCAGGAGATAGGCCACGAGTTCGGTGTAACCACGGGACGCAGGCGTCGCTGTGGCTGGTTGGATCTGGTCTCGTGCAAATACTCGCAAAGCGTGAACCACCACGACGTCTTGAACCTTACCAAGCTCGACGTGCTCGACACGTTCCCGGAGATCAAGGTCGCCGTCGCGTACAAGCACCCCGACACCGGCGAAGTCCTCGACGCCTTCCCCGCCAGCGCGAAGCTCCTTTCCCGGGTCGAGATTGTGTATAAGACTCTCAAGGGCTGGAACACCAAGACTACAGGGGCAAAAACGTTCGACGACCTGCCCCAGGAGGCTAAGGACTACGTTAAGTTCATCGAGGACTTCCTCGGCGTACATATCAAATGGGTCGGCTGCGGCCCCAACAGAGAGGACATCCTGGTCCGTTAATATCCCCTTTCCCGCGGATCCGGCCTCCGTTCGTCTATCTACATGTTATCTAGCAGTAGCAGAGTATGTATCTCGAAGGGAATTTGGAGTGTAGTGTGACGGCAGCTACGTTCTAGAAGAGGTGTGCGAAGTTTTTTTTTCTCAGTAAAAATAAAAGGAAAGGAAGGGAGAAGAGAGGAGAGAGAAGGAAAAAAAAGAAAAAGAGAAAAGGGCATTACAAAAATCTTAGATTCTAGGGGCAAGTGCTCTCTTAGATCTAGATTCCGGCAACGGATTGCTAGAGGGACGAGGCTTTTGTGGCGGCCTAGACGGGAAGGGATTAGTTGGGGGATTGCTCGAAACATTGGTGGGGGGGTGGAGAGGATCTGGTATCTTTACTTTTCGTAGTTTTAAGTGCGTAGTACGGTAGAACGAGAACGTGTGATTAGACCTTGCTTCTCGAGGTGTGAAGGATTTTGTGCTTTCTGTGATATAGAGAAATCCTCAAAAGTTATCTAGCCGCTGTGCGTATACTGAGAAATCTCGATTTCGTTGAAATACTTACCTGCTAGGCAGTTATTGATACTAAAATCTATTCTACGAAGCTAAAGGAAAGCTTGCTAGGTATTTATCTAGGTACTCTAGAGTCTCCAAGTTCCTATCCTTCTCTCATGCATACTCTAGACTATCTAGTCCCTGTGCTGTCCTGTTTCCTCTTTGACGACATCTACCTTACAAACAGTCTCGCTAGTCTCCCTCCTGACAAGTCCTAATGGTCGCGAATCGCCGTCATGAATGCTGCGTCTAATTTCGAGGCAATCGGAAGGGCAGAACGGATCGGAGTCCCCTGGCTCGCCTTGAGATTCTGACCAGGTATCCGGATGACAAGATTCGGGACCTCTGCCTTCATTGAACGCACTTGCGGTAGCCGCTTGTGGGACGTCGGAATCTAGCGCTGGCGAATCATTCATCGTGTTTGAGGAAGAACTTTGTCTTTGGTCATCGCATGTTCCCATCGAAATTTCCGAGGCCTTTGGGTCAGGGTAATCAGTTGGCGATTCGACGGCATGCCCTGACGTAAAAGACATAGTCGGCAGCGATTGGCCATCGTCCCTAGAGATCTCATCTTGACTATACATAGACTCAAGGGGTTTTCCAATCGACGATACCCGAGCTGGAGCTGAGATAGTCCCTGCTCTATTCAACCCTATAAGTCCATATTGCGTTTCTCCCGATATTGTATCGTCTGTCGGTCTAGCTTCTTCTCGACTATTGCGGCTAATTGACAATGGTTTAGGATATAGGTTATCTTCATGCCCACCATCTGGGATAGCTGAACATTCAGGAAGTGGCTCAATCAGGGAAGACGAGACGGAGCTACGGCTCTCGAATTCTTCGGTGTATTCTTCTGGGGATGCAATATCTTCTGGTGTTGTGACTTCCGACAAGTGACTCCTCTGTGCCCTCCGCCTATGTCCTTTTCGATGTGGCGGCCTGGACAGTGGGCTTACAACACCTGAATGCAGACCTGAAGACGTCGGGGTATTATGCGGTATAGTAGGAGGCGAATAGAGTGCTGTTGGCTCTGATATCGACGCCTCATCATTGAGACTCCCAGCACCACTATATAGAGGTTCAGGCGAAATAGGCATACTTCCCGAGAAGCCAGTTGAAGATCCGGATGTTCTAGAGTTATGTTCAAGGCTTGCTCTTAAAGAAAGTCGGTCCAACTCTGCTGTAGCGATCATCATACTTGCCATAGCCAACGGATCGAAATGATGTCCAGCGGCGCGGGGGGTATCAGCATGAGTTATGTTAGATTCGGGAGTATTGAACAATGGACTCTCTTCGCCTGATGACGGCCATACATCTACAGATTCACGGGCCAAAAGCCGACGTTCCTTGCTATTCCGGCGCCGGCGTGCTGGGTTTTCAGATTGGACCGAAAAAGTAGAGGAGCCAGACCGCCGAGGTCTTCGAGTAAGAAACTGGAACCGTCTTGTAATGATATTTCGCACATGGAAATGATGTCGATGTCGAACCTTTTCTAACTCAGAGCGCAGTTGGGCGATCTGTTCTTGATGATCCCTCTCCTAGATGCAGTACCAGTTAGTAAGAACCCAAAATGAGAGTGTTGGATTTAACACTCACTCTTGGTCCCGCTAGAGATTTGTCGAAGTCATCTAGTTGTCGATGAAGTTCCGGGCATGAATTGAGAGCAAATTTCTTGATAGCGTGATATTGAGCGTCGTGTTGTGAAGGGTAGGCGCATGACTTGTCATCAGATACACCCTCGCTGGCGCTATCGCTGCTAGTAGCATTGACGTCATTGCCCCTGGCAGGAATATCGGCAGTACGCGGACGGCGGATAAAATTTGAATCAGACACCTCTGAAACATCGTGTTTGCGACGAGGTTTTCTCTTTTCCCAATTTTTATTCCATTCAATAGATCCGGACGTATTCGAGTCGAGCTTCTGAGAGCTCATAGATAGGTCTGCGCTCTGACTTGACTCTTTCAATTCGCTGAGCCCCTCTCGTAGTTTTGAAATTTCGTCGCTCTCTGAACTTTGAGGGCCATCTAAACCGGTTCCGGACTGTGCAGTTGAGCAGTCTCGTCTGGCTGGCTGCAGAACAATCTTCGGATAAGTCAAACTTGACACAGTCTCAGGTTTATTTCCCGAATCTTTAGGAGTAGCCGGTGTACTTGGATCAGTCAAATTGGCCTCTTCGTTAGGGCAATCGATGCAGGAAACACCGGATAGCCAAACAGAGATCAAGTCGTCCCCCGCGCTACGTTCCTAACAGAATTTAAGGTCCTGGGGTTCGACTGGGTTCGGGCTGACCGGCGTAAGGGACCGATCTCTACAATCTTCGGGGGTCCGACGCGTCTTGCAATAGGAACAGGCTCCGGAAGTAGCCAGCCGTAAATGGAATCGGTGCGGCTTGGGTGAGAAGAGCCAATGCTCATCCTCGTATTCTCGGCTGTTCTCCTTTCCATGCTGTTCAGTAGGGGCCGACTTGCAGCCATAAGAGTAACATCTATGAAGAGGATGCCGGCGGTCGTAGGAATGTCCCGTTGAGTTGGGCGATAACAACTGTTGCCCGACGGTGAGAAATCCATAGTCTGTTGTATGCATAACGAGGGTTTCATGACTCTTCGGGGTCATGCCTTATGAAATAGGAACCGATATATCTGTAGAAGGTTGATAGACGATGTCGGATACGGAAAGCAAGGGCTTTGAAGATGTATCGCCACTTAGTGAAAGTGGATACCATGGTTCTAGGTGTTTAGGGGAGAATGATGAGGGATATGAGAGGATAGAGGGGATAGGGGATATTGAGAGGGTAATATTGAAGACATAACATTTATTAGAAATTCTTCAATCTTATACGTGTTCAAAGGTTTTACAACTAAAGCTACGTACCTATGGCTACATCATTGTCTAAGTGGGCAGTAGTTTCCATGGTGAATTATATTCAGAGCTCTTACCTGTTCAAGAGTTTCTATAGAGAAACCTTAACTGATGAGATTCACTTGCCCTCATAAATCTCGTAGTTGGGAACGCCTTCCTATCAAGGGTATGATTTCTAAATATAGATATAGTTGGAGATCTAAGACATGTGGCTTTTTCTGTGGCTTGGAGTCTTGCTCTTATTAGGTGGGTACCGTTTATTCCCGGCTTAATTCTTTGAATAGTGGAATACTTGGGTACTATACCGAGGCCGCTGTATGGGAGCTTTCATTCCCTTTTACAATCACCGGTTCTTAGACATAACCCCACAAGTCGCCTCCGTTGCCCGCCGCCATGAACGACAGCAGGCCATTTGACTTAAACCGCTAAAGCCTTAAAACGTTTCTTTTTTTTTAATTCAATTTAAAAACTTTAACCACATTAATAATAATTTTAAAAACGTTGTTATAAAATATTAATAAAAGTTAAAATATAACGGTTATAAAGAAATTTTTTATAAAATAAAATTAATAATAATTAAATAATAATTAAATTATAATTAATTTTAAGTTTAATAATAATTATTTAATATTAATTTAAAATTATTATTTAATTATTATTTAATTATTATTTAATTATTATTTAATTATTATTTAATTATTATTTAATTATTATTTAATTATTATTTAATTATCGTTTAATTATTATTTAATTATTATTTATTATTTTTTTTATTATATAAAAAAAATTTAATTTATAAAATGCGATTTAAAAAGTTTATATAATTAAAATAATTAATAAAAAATAAATTAATAATTAATTATTATATAATATAAATTTAATTTAATATTTTATAATAATTATATTAAATTTTAAAATAATAATTTTATTCGGTTAATATTATATAAATTAAATTAATTAAAATTTTATTTTTTTTAAAATTAATTACGTTTTCGTAATTTATAACGAAATATAATAAAAATAAACGGTTTTTTTAAATTAATTTATTATCGTATTACTTTAAATTATATTTTAATTAAGTTTTTTTTCGGTATATTTTATTAATTTTTTAAAATTAAAAAACTTTTTATATTATTTAATGTAATTTTATTTTTATTATTATTTTTTTTAATTTATATGTTAATGTCGGGTTAATTCGGTAAATTAAATTAATTTAATACATTATTTTAATTTTAAAATTTAATTTTTTAATTATTTCTTTTTTTTATACCCGATAAATTTAAAATAATTTTATTAAATTTATTATTTATAATTTAAACTTTTTTATTTTTTTTTAATATAAATTTAATTATAATAAATATAAATAAAAAAATAAAATAACGTAAAAATAAAAAAACATTAATTAATATTTCATTAAGATTTAATATTAATTAAGGTATATTTAAATTTAATGTTTTTATATTAAATAATAAATCATTTAAAATAAACGCAAAAAAACCATCGCTTTTTTATTCGTTTTTTTTAATATTAAAATTTTCGTTATTAATAAAATCCTTTAATTTTATAACATTAAAATAACATAAAAATAATAATATTTCCTTTATTTTATTTTAAAATACGTTTTCATTTTTTATAATAAAATGTAAATTAAATAAATTATTTAATAAATGTTTTATTTATTAAATAATAAAATTACGTTTCTTAATATAACGTAAATTTTTTATTATTACGATTTAAATTATTAATTAAAATAATTAAATTTTAATTATTAATTTAATTTATATAATATTTTTTAATTTATTAATAATATGGTTAATATTTTTAATTTTATAATTATATAAATTATAATTAAATAATATTAATTAAATATTTTAAATTAAAGCTTCGAAATAATTTATTTTAATTCGTTTATAAATAATATATTTTATTAACTTTAAATTAAAATAAATTTACATAAAACATTATAAAATTATATTAACTTAAATTTAATTTTATTTAATAATAACTTAATAACAAATATATTAATTATTTATAATAACTTTTAAAAATAAAATAAATATAATTAAATTTAATTAAATTATTTTATATATTAATTTTAACTTAATATATAATTTATTATTATTAAATATATTAAACAAACTTATGTTAATATAAAAGTTATATTAATATTATTAAAATTAAAATTATTAAAAAAACGTTACGATTTAATTTATATTAAATTTATATTATTATTTTTATTAAATTTTTAACCGTATATTAAGTTAAAACTAAGAATTATTTCCGTTATATATTTATTTAAAATTAATTATTATTTAATATAACATTAACTTTAATTAAGTTTATATTTCTTTATTATATTTAAAAATAAAAGTAAAATCATTTAAAACGTTTATTAATTATAATACATTAATATTAATATAATTATAAATTTATAAACATTTTTACGCGCATTTTATTTAATAATAATATTTTAAATGTTTTAATCGTTTTTAATATACGTTTAATGTTTTAATAAAATAATTAATATTAATTTAATAATAATTTAATATTAAAGTTAAATAAATATTTTCTAAAATTTAATTAATAACGTTTTAATTAAAAATTAAACTTATTTATTATAAATAATAATTTAATAATATTATTTTATTTATTTTAACATATTATGAAAATAATTAAATTTTAAATGTAAATTTTAAATGTTTTAAATAATAATAAAATTTAAATATTGAATTAATATTAATTTAATAATATTTAATTATAAATTAAATATATTAAAATAAACCGTCATTTTATATTTTTAATTACGTTAAGTTTATTTTTATTATAAATGTTATTATTAATTTAAAAACTTTCGTATTTATTATTAAATAATAATTAAGTAATAATTAAATAATATATATAATGAAAGCTTATTAATAATTAAACTTTTATAAGAATTTTCCCTTTTTTAATTATTAAATATTTACTTTTATTTAATTTAATTTAAATTAATATCGTATAAAAATATTATTAATTTAAAATTAAAAAATTCATTTATAAATTACTTATATAAATTAATAAAAAAAGTAATATTAAATTTATTATATGATTTATATTAGATTTATTTTATTTATAAACCATAAAAAAAAATTATGGTTTAAATGGTATATATATTACCATATAAATCCATGTATAACTTAAGGTATTTTTTAAACTTAAATTTTATAATTATTTACATTAAACTTTCCTTTATATTTAATTAATTATTTTTTATTTAAAACATGTTATTAATTTTTATAAAATATATAATTTAAAATCACATTCAAATACTTATTAAATAAAATATATTCCATTATTTAAACTTTAAGTTTAATAATATTATTTAAGTTTAAATTTAACTTTTTAATTAAATTATAATATATTAATATTAAAGTCTTTAAAATTTTAAAAACTTTACGTTAATAAATATTTAATTTTTAATTAAATTAACATTTATAAACTTACATTTAAAAAGTTATAATTATAAAAGTTTTTAAACTTTTAAATTATAATTCGATTAAAATAAAACGTTTTTAATTTAAAAGTAATTTATTAAAATAAAACGTTTATTTAAAGGTTAAGATATTAAAACTTAACATGTAAAATTAATTAAAAATATATTTATATTTATTTATAAGTTTATATAACGGATAATATATTATTAATTTAAAAACTTTAAAATAATAATTATATATTTTAATAATTAAAGTTTAATATAAATTAAATTTAATTAAAATTATAACCGTATAAACTCGCTTTTATTATTATTAATATATATTAATACATAAAATATAATTAAATGTTTTTATAAAAATATAAATTTAATATTATTATTATGTTTTAATTTTTTATAATTTTATAATTTTAATAATAAAAAATTTTTTAATTATTAATATTAAACTTAAAATAACGTTAAATTTATTATATAACTTATATTAAATTTATTATATTTAATTATAACCGAAAACTACGGTTCGAATAATATATATAATATTATATAAATTTAAATATAAATTTAAATATTTTTAAAGCTTTAATTTTTTTATCGCTTACTTTAAAAGTTACTTAACTTTAATTAATTTTTTTTTAATTAATATAGTTTTAAAAGTTTTATAAAATATATCATTTAAAATTATATTTAAGGCTTAATTAAATAAGTGAAATTACACCTTAAAAAACTTTAATTTAATTAAATTATTTATAATTAAACTTAAACTTTTATTTTAATTATAATAATTTTATTAAAATTTTTAAAACCATTATTTTAATATTAATTTTAATTTTAAATTAAATTAATTCTTTTAAATTATATATATAAAATATATAATTAAATATTTAAATAAAACTTTTACTTAATTTATTTAAAATATAAATTTCATTTAAATTAAAAACAATTTAATCGAAAAATAATTATATTAAATATTAAATTTTTAAAACTTTAATAAAAATTATATTTAAGTTTATATATAAATTTATATAATAAATAATATACCGTTTAAATCCGGATCTTCGATATATTAACCACATATAATAAATTTAATATTACTTATATTAATATAATTTATAATTAACTATAATTTATTTTTTTTATAAAAAGATTTTATTTATTTTTACTTAAATAAATACATTTTTAAAATTTCATTTATAAATTATTTATTTTAAAAAACGTTAATAACTTTTTAAATTTTATTATTATAAAAAATTTA